ATCTGAGTACAGATTTGAATTCTACATCAAATTTTACATGAAAAAACATGGTTTAAAAATTTTTTCTTATGTCCCCCCAGAAAAGCAGAGTAAGAAGCAGAATATCCTCATACCATGAAAATCCAACTTTGAGCCCCTGTAGATCCATAAGGGTTGGACCTAGGGGGCTGTGCCCTTCAGGATTTTCATTTTTCATTGTGTTCTTGAAGAGTAAATGGTTACTTTCAACTTCATTTTTTGGGCCTGCAACACCTGTTGTGGAATAGCCCATATATAAAGAGTGTTGCACCCCGGCCTCTCGGCGCACGTATGCATTATATATCATACACACGTATATGCAGCATCAGAGAAAGCGTAGCTTGATTCAATTAATTTAATTAACGCAGTTTAAAAATACCTACGTATATAAGTTAAGGACTGAGCTGCTTCTCTCCAGTACATTCGCGCGTTATATGTTAATACAGAGAGAAGTTTTTCTTTTCTCTCTCTTTATCTCGTCTCTCATCTCTGATCTCTGTCTCTCTCTCTGATATGGCAGCAGGCAGGTACTCGTTATAAGGCAGGTTAAAGTCTCGACTTGCTCCACATGGCAGCCGCGAGGTGTAGTATCATATATACATTTCGCTCTTTTAATTATCGCTTTACTCGCATTTATTATGCTTCGTCTTTGATATAATACGCGCGCAGCCTCGAGTTTTTAAAGTTTTATATTTACGTACCGTACGGCCGAGGAGGGTAGGGCGAGTCTCGCCCCCGCGCGACTGCAAGAGATCTCTCTGTATGCGATTCACAGATGCATATGATATAATTTAACGTATTACGCTCGTTTTCGGTCAAAGAAGAATAATAATTGCATTGAGCTGCATCTCGTCGTCGTAGTTGTCCTTCATACATACTCGTGTACACGAATTATAAATTTTTCTAGCACGCGACATCTAGCTTCTCGCCAAAAATGACCCAAAAGCAATAACAACTCAATTATGCCAGTTTTCTTGATGTATACTAAAATCAAGATGTAACAGGCAGAGATACGGTAGCCGTGCCGAAGGGGGATGAAAAAATGCACCGCGTACCTAGGCCATGCAAGTGCAGTGCACACGAGTTCGTGGTATCGCATAACAAAACGGCGTTGTGCGGTAACATGTATATAGTCGAGCAAGGCGCGCGCGGCCGGAGCTATTATGCATGCATCGAGGCGCCCTTAGCCACTTGTACACGTAGTACCTATCAAGGAAAATACACGCGCGCGTTCATTGCTCGCTTTAACCTCTCTCTCGTGCGCGGGGGGTAGGTATATTATAACGAGACTCGGCGGGCGGCATCGTGTCTTGCGCATTTTTAAGAAAAAATAAAAAAAAATAAAGTCGGAAAAAGAAGAAGTAAAAGAGGAAGAAGAAGAAGAACATCGCCGGGGACCGTGTTGCGTGCATCATGTAACGATCCTTATACGTAACGCGCGCGCAATACGTATATTAATTCAAGAGGCCTCGGCAAGCAGCGCAACATTTGCATGAGGGCGGCAAAGCGGCCTCCGCTGATTATTTTGTGCCGCATAAACTGTCTGCTTGGTTGCGTATATTATTTATACATCCGCGCGCGACCAAAACATATTTCGTATGTATTTATGTACGGCACGTAACGACTGCGAAAATATCGCGAATTTGAATATGATCGTTCGAGTATCATCGCTGCTCGCCTTTTCTTAACATTTTGCGCATACATCAAGAACGAGTATTAATGGAGAAGCACGAATGCGCGCGAAATTTTCGCGCATTAATTCGCGACCGAGGGCAGAGGGCTGCTCCGTTATTTATTATTATTCATTTTGATATAAGAGGCAGGAGTTATTTGGTGCGCATATAGATATATTTTTCGCCATCTTGACGTACAGAATCTGCGGATGATTATATTTTTTTTAATTGCTTCAGTTGATTTGTTTGATTTAAAGTTTCATAGTTATTGAAAAATGTGTAAAATGAAGCAAATCTATTACAAAATATAATCAAATATGGCAATTTTTAATGAATAAGTAAAATTACATATTTAACATCGTTAACATCGTTAAGTAATTGTCATTTTATGAGAGTGAAATTATGAAAATATTATAATGAATAATACTAATTCTCATTTGTATTTTTTAGAGTGAAAAAAGAACCTATCGATGTGTCACATGTTGAAAATAATTACAATGTTAATGACCAGACACCCGATGTTAAAACTATTCAATTTTCTAAGTTTCTGCGTGAAAACCCTGTAAGAATTTCTAATTAACGAGCGACTATCATGGTCAATTTTACCTAAATTTTCTTTTAAATTTAACTAACAGAGCCATACGCTTCGAGAAAATGACGAAAATTATGAACTTTATAATGAAATAAAAATAGAATTCGAATTTGAAGACATGAAGCCTGGCATGAATTTACTAGCAGTCGAGAAAATTGAGAATAATTCTAGAAATCACTCGCAAGATATGAAATTCAGCAGCAATTATGAAAGTCAAAACAACGTAAAAATAGAAACTGTGAACGAAGTGAAAAAAGAATTGAATTTGAATTCTAACAATGAACTCATACAAGAAAATTATGTACCTGAAAAAGCGTTCACTCGCAAAAGTAATATAAATCGTCACGTCAAATCACCGCATTATACCTGTGATGTATGTGAAAAAAATTGTTCTGCTAAGTCCCATCTCAAATGGGAATATTTACACTTATCTCGATTTTTGACAAACAAAATTTTTACTTAAAAAATATCGGTACATTGAATACTATCGTTCAAAGAAAATTGAGTAACTGCATGAATGTTTATCTCAACTCGTCGACTCGGATGTGGCATGATGATTACAGCCAAATTGGATCAGTCGCGTCATTGTATCTCAAAGAATCTTTTATCCAGCAATTATATATACCTTTATACAAGTACATCGTGTTTATAATACACGAATGACAAAACGGACCTGTTCTGAAGCACGAGGGTTGGGGCGAGAGTCTGTGCACTTGCTCGAAATGAATTGAAAAGAGAATCAAGTGCGTGAGTATACGCACTAAGAATCGTGTGATTTTATTGGAAAAAAATACCGCGTATAGACTCGGGGCCGAATACGAGATTACTCCAGTTTTGCACGTCGACGTCTGGGCAATGAGCGCGGAGCGTGTGTTATATACCGCATATACATGTGCGCCGGCACAAAATATGTTGGTACAGAGGGGATGAAGATGACGAGGCTATTATACGTCTGTGTGTACGTATGTATACATTGGGAACACTTGTCACCGTGGCATATCATACACATATATACATACGCATACACACGAGAAGGGAGTGAGAGACGCACTAAGAGCCCCGGGGACAAATTGCCGATAACGATCTCTTATTCTCTCTTTTCTCTTTGTAAACTTTCTCAACCCTCAATGTCTCACTTATATGTATCACTCGCTTTACACACGCAGCCCAGTCTCTGTCTCTCTCTTTCAATTTACAATTATTATCATTCTCGTATGCGGCGCGCGCGCCGCTGTATACATTATCCAAGCCAATCCGCATCTACCGCCCACCATATAATACGGACTCATTTGTTATTTTCGAATGTAAAGCTTGTACCCCGGTACTATACGGCGATGGACGGAGGCGTCGTGCGCATCGGGGGGGTAATTGCTTAGATATAGATATTATTCCATAAATATACCTAATCTCTCGCGATTCGTTGACGAGTGGATGATTACACGTTTGCTTCTACGCGCTGCATTCGTACAATATGCAACGATGAATGACTGCACACGTATATTTCTCACGTCACGTACATCTCGGCCTCTTATCGCCTGCCCATCGGGCGCATGATAGCTGATACAAAACAATCACGCTTCGTTAAACTAGTGCACCTTTTTCCCCAATAAAATCACGCATATTGATTGAGTAACGCATATTATAGTCCTGAGATTAAACGATAATTGAGATAATTGTACAACAAGATCGTTCGGAGAAGCTGTATTACTTATAGAAATGCTCATATACTAACCAAAAGGGTAACATTTTTTAAACATATTTTATGGCTCTATTTCCACCATTTTTTAACGATACAAAATTCATGAAAATGACCATTTCAACACATTTTCAATCGCTACTCATTTATCAATCAATCTCTTTATTACTTTGATTGTATTAGGTACTTTTATGAACTGATATCGTAACTGTGCTCTGACTTATATAATTATCTTTATTTTATCACTTGCAGATTTATAGACATAATGATACTCGCCATCTAGTCGGGGATACTTGAAGTGGTATATTTTTAAAATTATTGAAAGCTGATCTCAATTTTTTGAAGCAGTTAAATTGTACTACTAGATTATTTAAAATGTTTAACCACAAAATTGTCAATCTAATTGTTACAGAAAAATAGCCAAAAGCGAGCCGATTAATGGTAATGTATTTTAAAATCTTTTTATGCAATAGTATGACGAAAAATGTCTTATTTCGCACATTTTTTAGTGCGCAAAAAGCGTTTTTGGGCACTTGTATACGGTAAAATGCCTCATTTCGACACTGGTGTGCGGTAAAATGCCTCATTTTGGACACTGGTGTGCGGTAAAATGACTCATTTAATTGAAAGTATTTTTCGCTTACTATTGCATAAAATTTTGTATGCAACACGTGCCCAGCTTTTTGCGCACAGTGCGCGGAAAAAAACCCACTCGTGACGGCATAGCCGACACTCGTGTCTTTTTCCGCACACCCGTGCCCAAAAACGCTTTTTGGGCACTTGTTACATAAATATAATTATTTTAGCTTAGGCCATTATTAATGTTGAATATCTCTACGCTGATAGAGATACATACTAAAACGAAGGGTGTAAATAAAATAAATAACATAGTCATCCACTGTGCCGGGATCGTATACATTGTACAAATAATTCACGGGGCATTGACGAGGATGCGTACATAACGCTTGAATATATGGATAGGCGAAAAAAATTTACCTTCGCGTTTTAATTAAGTTCTCCTACCTGTCTTCCCTCTCTCTGTTATACGTGCCCCGCTAAAATAGGTTGAATAACTTTACACGCGCGCTAGGAAAAAAAGCCGTGCCTGTAAAACTCTCTCTCTCTCTCTCTCTCTCTCGCTCACGAAAAGTTGAGGCTTTTCGAAAATAGGAGATAAAATGAGAAAAAAATTTACCGTACACGTTGATTATGCACGTGTCAGATGATCGAGAAGTGCCACGCAGTTGAGTTTTATGCGGGCACGTTATACGTGCAGGTATATAAAATGAAAAATGTACAAAAAATGCGCGTTTTCCGCGCTCATATCCGCAGTTATATTCATCGTACTCGTACGAGCGCATGTAGAGTGCAAAATGCACCGCGCACTGTACAGGAAGATTTTCACTTCCGTTTGACCTGACACGCGCGCCACGCAGCTCGCAGCATGCCGAGCGCTCAGTTCGCCAGCTTAATTCGAATGCCGAGGAAAACTTTTGCGCTCGCGTAACGCATATAACGCGATACGTTCGTGCGCAGCTCTTGATTCGAGTTTCTTTCTTTTATTTTTTTTTTTTTTTTGCAACAAGTGCGCGAATATATTCGCGAGATATTTCGAGTATAATAAATAACGAATGTACGTATAGCTCGCTCGCTGCAATTCTCGCGCGAGAAGATCGTTGCAGTTTTTGTTGGGCACAGCACTTGCATTGCACTTTTCATCGATACACGAACGCATACGCAGGTGCATTACCCCCACAAGCCATCGTTCAAGCGAATTTCTGAATTTTTGGAATTCATCGCGAGTCACTTATCGATACACGCGTATAAAAATGTTTCGTTCTATACCGAAATAAAGAGGAAAAATAATTGGTAAAAGTCAAGCTCTATTAGAATAGCCCAGCAGACAATTAGCGAAGAATAACTTGTATGATATACATTCCGATATCGACGCAGAGTTGCCTACGTCCTTATATTCAACAAACTCGGTTGCCCCCCGCCCCCTTCCCTCCGCGTCGACGAGCATCAAGTTAATTTTTCCATCATCTCTCTCGCTTAAATTACGTCAATCTTTTGTGTAATATCTCGACGAGAGTTGCTGCCGCAACTGTATCAAATACGATATTTATATATAGCTTTCGGATAAAATGATACGTTACGCTATGTATACGGTATATTCTGCTCGTCTGCGGTGTATAAAGCGTATGACGGTTGTCTTTCTCTCTCTCTCTCTCTCTGGCCCGCAGCAGGTAGGGATGGTTACCTCGGCAACGAGCCGATTCCACACAACGATTGGCTCGTCCGCTAAAACCGCAGCCACCCTCGCTCGTTCATCCTCCTCCTCCTCCAACACATCGTAGCAGCTCCTTCCACTATATTATATTCCTTCTTCTCTCTCTCTCTCTCTCTCTCTCTCTCTCTCTCTCTCTCTCTCTCTCCTGCGTATACGAAGCGTAGCGGGGCACAACCACTATATATAGGCGCACTTAAAGCTCTGTGGTTAACTTCAATGAGCAGATAACGAGCGCGAGATGATGATATCCTCTTTCTCTGCTCTCTCGCTACTGAGCTTTAGCAATTGGTGTATCGCGTATAGATATATACCGCGTGGAAAAGCGACTGTAAGCGGAATCGCAGCACAAGCCGCCGCTGCGCGACTTTGTCAAATCAACGTTTGCTGCTACTATACGTAAAGCCTCGAAACTTGCGGCGATGATTTAGGACGAGCCACCGAGGAAATGCTTGTTTATCCTCTCGCTCGCTCGAGACTCTTGCTCGCTTCAAATTTGCATGAATTGCGAATCTCGACTGGCAACAAAAGTACACGCTGGGCTAGAGCTGCTTCACGCTCATTTTACGTGCTAATGATTTATGCCATATCAGGGATGTCGTTTTTAGAGAATTCAAGCTTTGACGGTCAGCGCAGAGATAACGTTTTAAGCGTTGCGCGCGCGAACGTGTCTTATTATATTTTCATAAAAATGAATTGTACCTGTCAATCTCTTCTAGATTATATCGTACCCAACTAGACACACGCATGAAAAATATTTTAATCCCGAAAATGCCAATAAAAACGCGCTCTCATTATCAATGCAAGATTTTTTCAGCTTTCTCATCCCCGTACATAATGTTACACAAGCGTAAATATATACTACATCGAAAGCGCACGAGCTTGCAACGATCAACTCGCTACATGTGTATAGTGTACATCATCATCGTATCTTTTCAACCGTATCGCATCATACATATCGAGTTTGCATACATCGGATGTGTACGTATGCGTACGTATCCATTCAGTCGCATGAATACGTTTTCCGTTGCTATACAGCATAAACACGCTCGGCTATGTGTACACGCGCGCTGAAAGAAAATGAAATTTTCGAATGCAGGAAAAAAGAGTACTAGCGAGAGAGCAGAAAAAGAGGAAAATAAAAAGGTCACGATTATGTATGCACACGTAGGATACATGTACGTCATTGGTATCAATAAAGCAGCGCGGCCGCGTGCATGCGTGTACCGAAGAAAGATGGCGCGTTGCAGCTATATATGCGCGCAGCCTATGTGTACGCAGATCGCATAAACAAACAAATACAAAAAGAAAGAGAGCGAACCGCGATAACGCGCGAAGGGAGAGGAAGCAAAAAAAAACTAGGAGGAGCGACGCGCGCGCGCGAGGAGATAGATAGCGTCGAGAGTTAAAAAGATGAAATAAAAGGGATGAAGGAATGGAAAAATATAAAACTGGGGGGCAAAAAAAGGAGAAAAGCTTTCAATTCCTCGGTATATTTGCGGAGCCTCGAGTTCCGTATAACTTCTTTTTTACAGTCTCGCCCACTCGAGTCTCTCTCTCTCTCTCGCTCGCTCTGCCGGGGCTTTTCATGCGATGTTACCGCGCGAGAGATAGGTAGATAGGTATAGGAACTGCAGCAGCGCGCAGTTATATTCACACGCTCGGTCGCTCCTCAATGGAGCTTTCGCTCGAGCGCTATAGCTCCGCTTGTGTGTGTGTGTATGCACATATAACGCGGCCTCGGATTCGCGATTCATACAGATTACGTACGATACTGGTTCTTTTTTTTATCATCGAGCTTTTTTCTCCTCAAACTCGCTCTTCGCGGCTTTTTCATTTCGCGATATATTTATAAATTTAATGTATAATACAGGCGTATGCGAGAGGGGCGGTGGCGCTGTGTACTACTGCGAATGCGCGCGAATCGAGGCCCAGGAGATATTTTTATAATGCGTACACAACTTTCGTGCGTTGCCATTGAAGCGCGATGCGACGGCTGCGTATTTGTTTCAAATCGTTGATCCCTTGTACCCATTAATTGTACACGTGCACCTTACCGTTATGAATTCTTTTTAATATATGGCTCGCATCAATTTATCCGCCTGCGAGTTTACCATAAACAAAATCGATTCGTGGTCACGCACTCTTTTTCTTTGATAATAAACGTACTTTGTATAGATAGATTGTAAGCTGCAAAGGCCGCGAACGTAATTTTGTTCTCGAAATTTTAATTACCAATGTCTGTTTATATATGTATGGGAAATATAACGTACGCATGCGTAAGACGATAAGACAAAGTGAGACAAAGTATGAGTACGTGTAATAATACTGTACTTCCCCTACATATATCGTACGTACTTTAACGCGCGCGCAACTTTTTTGTCGACGCTGCCGATACAAGAGGTACTCGACACGCGGACGATGGTCAGAAGAATCAAACGCCATAGAATAGTATCTTCTCGTAACCGAACACACACCCAGCTATGTTATATTGTGTACGTGTATACACAATCCAATTATCAGCAAAGAGAACAGAAAGAGAGAGAAAAGTTTGTCGGGAAGCGGAAGAGTATATCTAATAGACCCCCCCCCCCCCCCCCCCCCCCCCCCCCCCCCCCNCCCCCCCCCCCGGCCCGCTCGATCATCCCTGTGCATTTTATATTGTTGTATATGTAGCAGGGTATACAGTCCCGCAAGACTGCCTGTAGCGCGCGTGCGGCGTCGAGCAAACGATTACCACTTAAAGATATTCTCTTCTACTGCGCACATGTGTATAAAAGTATATCCAACAGACTTGCTCGAGCGAGCAACTCGACTGTGATTTTTTTCCCTCCCTCTCTCTCTCTCTCTCTCTTTTCTATATATTCGGTAATTGAAGTGTCTCCGAACACAAGCGGGCGCGCGCACTATATATATACACTCGTGATAAGTGTGTGGATTTTTAAAGTCACGTACGAAATGTTTTTCTTTTCAACTCCTTTACTTATTCGTTCCCTCTCTCTCTCTCTCGGTCGTAGATATTTGACGATGCGTGATGTCTAAAAAGTTCGACACACGCGCTCGACGATATATTATATGTGTTAGATTTGTGCATATAAGGGTGTGCTGTTGTGGCGAGTGTTAGAGCCAACCCCCTTCCCGGACGCCAAATGATAAAAGTTTTGCAACTTACAACTATGTAACAAGACGATTTTCTCTTTTATTTCTTTTAACACGTAGGCAGTCGAAAGATGATGGAAAAGTTAGACAAGTTTGTGGCTTTCGTGCACCGCTCTACAGAAAAATTCGTGACGCGGCTATTACTTGCGGCCGAAACTCGAGCACGACGCGCGCGACTCACTACTCGTGGCTCGTTGATCGACCAACGAGACGCGTGCATTTTGGATTCTTTAATTTACAGTTTTTTTTTTGCCCGCGAGGTATGAGAGTTTTCGAGCACTTGACGTTGTTTATAGGGACCTTAATCGGCACATTTTCGCGTGAGTAACCGAAAAAAAGTTGAAAACAAGTTCTTCAAAAACTGGTCGAAGTACATCTTAATATTGCGATATAATAATATGTGCAGTCAACAACGCACTGAGATCGCGAATATCGAACGACGGAAGTTACGCGGACGAGGGCGAGTATCCGTATCACGGGGCGCTGATGCGCTCCGGCGCCTACTGGTGCGGCGCCAGTCTCGTGTCCGCCCGGCACGTCCTCACGGCCGCTCACTGCGTCAAGGATCTGGTCGACGTCGGCTGGCCCGGGGGCGCGAAGCCGCGAGTCAAGCTTGGCTCGACGAGCCTCGAAACCAGTCGGGTCCACGAGGTCTCGAGGATATCTTATCATCGGGATTACGACCCCGTTTGGCTGCTCGCCGACATCGCCGTCGTCACGGTGAGTCGTATAAAATAAAACGTCGCTAGCTATAGTATCGCTTTTCTTACCCGCAATCGCTCGTTAACTAAAATCTTTCAGCTGAGCGAGCCGGTCGTTTTCTCTCGTCGCGTGAGACCCATCGACTTGCCCAAGCCTTTCGAAGAGCTTCCGCCCGGCCGGAGACTGATTGTCACCGGCTACGGGCGCGACGATCGCTCGCGGGCACGATCCGTCCGATTGAAGCCGCTCGCGACGCGTCTCATCGGTAACGAGCAGTGCTCCAAGGACTGGTTCGTGACGCCCAGTAAGCTCTGCACCCTCAGAGGACCCAATAACTACGGCACTTGCACCGTAAGTATATAATATAAATCGAAAAAAGTTGCCTGTCGCGCGTCAACGAGCTTCGGTGAATTAATTTTCGATCGATGGCATATGACAGGGCGACAGCGGCGGACCCTTGGCGAGCTCGGACAAGCGAGTGATCTACGGCGTGGTGTCCTCGGGGGCGGCTTGCCCGACCGCTCAGCCCGACGTCTACACCAAGGTGTCGCATTTCGTGGCCTACGTCGAGCGAGAATCGAGCTACTTCGGCAATCGCCCATCCGCGCCCGGGCCGCATCCAGCCAGATTATTCCTGGCCAATGGCGCGTCCTACCCTTTGCCAATTACGACGGATCGCGGCGAGATCATATTGTACAATAGGCAAGCCGATCAGCGATTTTTCCCAAATGAACTTTCGCTCTAATTTCCGCGACGTTTCGTTAAACCTCGACTGCGCGCGGCTTCGAGCGAAACCTCGAGAGATTTTCCTTTTTAATTCTCATCTTTTGTTTTTGTTTATTTTCTGGCTGTCGCTGTCGTGGATATAACACAGTATAATCTACGCAAAGAGCGCCACGAGCGCAGTCGCTTTCAAGCGCTTGACTAGGCGCGTTTTTATTTTTATTATTCTTTTTTTTTTTTTTTCAACTCACTCATTCATTGTCAGTGGAGATTGGCGCGCAGTGCCGAGAGCACAATATAGAAGCCGGTGCGCCATTGTTATTCGCGTCGCGAGAGATTCCCTCCATTGTTTAAAACTAAGTCGCGCATAACGAGATCTGCTACCTCAATCGCTGACTCTCGCTCGCTTTTCTTTCTTTATATTACATATAGGAGCCTCTTGTCTTCTTTCTCTCACTTGTTTTTTGTATTAAAAGCTCTCCTATATATCCACGAAGCTCTGCTGGGATGAAAGGTTGGCTCGTGCACTATATATATCGTCGCCACAGTCGCAGAGCGGTATACATGTTAGCGGCAAGTACGCGCGAGTAGGACCGCGCACGAACAAAAGATATGTATTTCCGTCGCTATTCTCTTACGTCTTGCGAAAACGATGCAAAGTAGAGATATACGCGTGCATCCTATGCTCTCGTTTTTCTTGTTTCTTTTCCTTTCTTTTTTTATTTTTTAACTTCATGAAGCATGCGACGTAAACGTAATGAGTGCATAACAAAAAACCCAAGCGACTTGGGTGTGTATAACTTTTTTCTCCTCGGTTTTCTCTCTCTCTCTCTCTCCCTCGCTTAGCTTCGCGTTTGCTTCAGCGCAATAAATTTTTCCCTCCCTATCTAGGGCCACTCTAAGCAGTTTTCATTATAATCAAGCGATTTTCCTTCAAAGCACATTTAATAAAGTCACAGACTTTTGCAATATCTTTCAAAATAACTTGTAATTCACAGTAAATTAAAAAAAAATCTATTTTTTTAGGACAAGTAGCGATTGACGAATGCAACCTTCCTAGATGAGTAACGAAGGCAAACTGAAGTTTCGTGACAATAATTTTTTTAAATTGTTCGCATAGTCAAAAGCTCTTTTTTTATCATTTCATGTGATTGATTCTTTTTTTTTCTGGGATCTGTAATAAAGCCCCCATTTAACCTAATACTAAGCTCAGCTAAAGAGTTTATTTTTGAACTGTAATGCCTTTAAAATAACCTTGAAAATAAAAACAAAAGACGTACTCGAACATGGAATTTTTCGCTCTTTTCAAATCTGAAATAAAAAATGAGTCGAATTTCAGGTCACCATAGGATTCCTCATAAAAAAAGACGTCGGTTATATGATTTTTGATTTTTTTTAATGCTTTCTTTGCGATAATTCCAGGGGTGTTTAAACAATTTCACCGCCTTTTTTACATTGCATTTTGCATGTATAAAGGCTGAAATATCGGATTTCAGGAGCCTCGTTTTCGGCTATAGAGGAAAAAACCAAGAACCCTATCTATATGGCTTCAAACTATATATAGCTGATTACTTTCATATAAAATTTCAGAGATTCATGTTAATAGAACAAAATTACAGCCTATCAAAACCTTGAAAATACACTCTTTCTCATAATTTTGATACATTTAAACATCTGTATCTCCGTCTTTCTTGAACAAATCTTAAATTTGAGTACGGCGATTTGAACGTAATAAAAATACCTTTTCAATGAGATGTCACGGAGGTCGATAGCTTTATCTAATCAGCTTCTACGTCCATTTAAAAAAACTAAAAAATGACAATTTTGCGATTTTTCATCCCCCTTCATTGCCACCCCATAACCGGGGTTGTGGTTATCGAGCTCTTCAAAATTTTTTCATGCAAAGTACATGCCTAGTTTCACAGCTTGCTGTAGAACTTTGGATGGATCATGGTTGGAATTTAATGAATTATAACAACGAAAAAGGAAAATTGCAGTAAAAATAAGTTCTATAATAATGAATGTAATTTTTTGAGTAAAAGTATAAGAATATTATTGTTATGATTATTATTATTATTTTAATTATTTTTCATAATGCTATTTATATTATTTTTGTTTAATGTTAGGAGAAATTTATGAAAAAATGAAAAAAAGTCCTTCAAATTAGATAGTATCAATTCCATTGATAATTTTGATGATTCTAAGCAAATTCAAAATTTAAATATTACATCCAATGCAATAGTACGCAGTACTATATTCCACAACAGGTGTTGCAGGCCCAAAAAATGAAGTTGAAACTAACCATTTACTCTTCAAGAACACAATGAAAAATGAAAATCCTGAAGACCACAGCCCCCTAGGTCCAACCCTCATGGATCTATAGGGGCTCAAAATTGGATTTTCATGTTTTGAGGAAATTCTGCTTGTTACTCTGCTTTTCTAGGGTGCACATGAAAAAGTTTCTAAACCATGTTTTTTCATATAAAATTTGATGTAGAATTCAAATCTGTCCTCAAATAAGACATTCATAACCTAAAAACTCCTTAAAATTGAAAAAATAGTGTAAAAGATCAAAAAATAAATATGTTCGTATACCTCAAATTGGCCAATATTGTATTATGTTCATCGATTCACCAAAATACAACTTCTGATAAAGTTTGGTAACTGAGTCACCATTATAGACAATTTGGTAGCCAAAAAATATGGTTTTTTCCCCATTTTCCTTGTTTTTTGGCTCTTCGCAAGCTACCAAATTGTCTATAATTAAGATATATTATATTTGATTAAGATACATTATATTATATTTGAGTACAGATTTGAATTCTACATCAAATTTTATATGAAAAAACATGGTTTAGAAACTTTTTCATGTGCACCCTAGAAAAGCAGAGTAACAAGCAGAATATCCTCAAAACATGAAAATCCAATTTTGAGCCCCTATATATCCATGAGGGTTGGACCTAGGGGGCTGTGGTCTTCAGGATTTTCGTTTTTCATTGTGTTCTTGAAGAGTAAATGGTTAGTTTCAACTTCATTTTAGGGCCTGCAACACCTGTTGTGGAATAGCCCATATACATCAAGGCGACACACGTTTCTCGCAATTTTCTCGAGGTAGACAGTGTACAGCTATGGCAGCCGCTAGTATTGCAATAAGTTTTCTAAAACAATTCGATCAATTGGTATCAAAAGATGTTGATGACATTTTAAGTATCGGTGATGGATTATTTATAGGAGAAATAGAGAATCGTAGAGTTCCAAACCAAAATGAAAGAAATGCCCATTATTTAACCGCAGAGGATTAGCAAAATCAAATTCTTGAATTTAATACTAACATAAGATGTATAAGATCAATATTGATCAAATTACTTATGGACGCGTAGTAAATGATAACTCAGGTTTGCCTAACTTAATAAAACTATTGCAAGATTGTCTTCGTACAAAAACGTCAGGTATTTTGACGATAAAGCTGTTACAGTATCAATAATAACATTTAATAATAAGATCGGTTCATTCGACTCACACAGTAGAGGATCTGATGGAAAAGTTGATTCCAAAGGAGTAGCATGTTCTTATTCATCATCTATAGAAAATCTGTTTGATATTATTACGAACAATTATGTAAGTGATGAAAATGATCCTTATGACGAGCAATATCAATTTACAGTTATATCTATTAATGAAATACTTTCTACAAATCGAGATGCTGATTGTACGTTAAATGAAAGTACCGTTCGCTTTCATGATCTATTTAATTGCTTAAGTACAGACGAATGTAATGAAAATGAAAATATCGAATCCGAAGAATTAGTAATAGAAAAAGGAAAATTGAATAAACTCGTTGAAAATATCAAATGTACAGATATAAATGTGGTAACTAACATGTCTTGGATTACACAAAGCATTCGATAATCATTATCATTTATTCAATTGTAAATTCGATAATATTAAACTTATAAATATATCTAATCATGGGTTACTGCATACTCTTAAATTTAAATGCGATATGTGCTTATTAGAAAAGAAAATAAGTAATGTACCTGACACCAACAGCACATTAGATTTGAATGCAGCATCCATTATAGCATGTCAAACAACAGAATTCGGATTGTCCAAGTTTGAAGAACTCATGGGAATTTGCAAAGTTCAAGTTCAAAATTATGCATTATGGCGTAATGAAAAAAGCAGGAATTAAAGTTCAAGTATGGGCATTAGAAAGAGGCGATTATGTAGATTATACTACAGAAGAAGAAGGTGTAATAAGAGTTCCTTTTACAACAGTTGAACTCGACTGTTCATACATGAAAAGATCTTACACTTACAGCAAATATGATTCATCAGCAGCCTGCGTAGTGATAATAGAACATTATACTAGTTGGCACTAGTTGCATTTATCTTGACAAGGTGTTCAAATTTGTTCAGGTTCAATGATATACGTAAAAAAAACATCATATTTTTTAAAAGCAAACTTTATTTGCCAATGAATTAGCAGCTGTAGTATTACATTATAAATAAAGAAATATCACATGTAGTCATTTTGTATTTACATGTTTGATTGTAAAATTTATCTGTCCGATCGTTATTATTGATATTATTTCAATACCAACTAATGTATCGGAGCTCAAGTTTATATCAATGATTGTTTTTTCAATCATCCGTACGTATACGGATACGCATTTGTCTCGCTGCAATTTTGTCCTAACGCGTATACAATTTTTCGTTATTCTTATAGTAATGGTTACACGAAATGCAAGAGTCATCGCGAGCTTTGGTTTTAACAAGCCGCCAAGCAAATATTGTGTAAATCTCGGTTCATTAATTCATCGAGGATCATTTCACAGCATAGCAACGGCAGTCGTTGGCGAATCAACTCGCAGAATGGGCAGAGAGCCCATCGCTGGAAATATCGTCTCGACAGTTTCTCGCACAGGTGCCGAGCACAAACGTCCCTGAGCCGCTCGGGCAGCCGGAGCCAGTCCAATGTACGGGCGAACTCGTAGTACTCCATCGACGAGAGTCGCTTTCTCGCTTCGTCTGGTCGCAATTGGATCAGGTCGTAGAGCGACAGGTTCGGCTTGATCATCGCCTGCTTCGCTTCTGTCGCGAATTCCTCGTCGTCGTACCAATTGTTTTCGAGATCCGCCGAATTCTCGAACCAATTCAACTCGGAAAACACCTTCATGATCATCAGGGTGTCGCTTCGATCCAGTTCGTATCCTCTTGCCTTCAGACGCTCGACTACAGCCATCATACCGGACGCCAGGATGAATTTTTTCTCCACGCGTTTAAACGATACCGATTTAAAACTTGCATTGAAATAACTCTCGGTCGGGAAAACGAAGCTCGACAGATTGGCGCCACGATCCAAGAGAAGATCGACCATCATCGGCGAGTGATTCGCCACGGCCCATTGAAGCGGTGTCCGGTCCAAATTGTCCTTGGCGTCGATCTTCACCGGCTGACCGATCTCGGCGCAGATCTCAAACAATGCTCGTGCCCGCGAATAAAGCTGTGGCATGTAGTCGAACTTGCACAAGTGATGCACGGAAGTCTGTTTCTGGTCATTGGCTGCATTGGGATCGGCGCCTCTTCGCAGTAGGAACTCGACTACCTCGTGTCTGTTGTTCATTGCGGCTATGAGCAACGGTGTATCGCCGTATTTCTTCTTAGCGTTGATGTGCAGCGGACGGTATCTCTCTTGGCTGTGCTCGAAAATCAGCCTCACCACGTCAACGTCGCACTTTGGAAGAATCGTCTGGTGCAGAGCTTGTCCACAACTACTGGCCAAATTCGGATCGATGCCTCGTTCCAGCAGAAATTTGACCAGTCGTTTCTGACCGCGACGCACAGGACCGAACAGTGCCGTCTCGCCATTCTCGTCCTGTACATTGAGCTGCAGGGGCCGATACCGCTCCTCGCTGAACTCAAACACCATCTCGGCCAGCTCGAGTGATGCGTCCTCGTTCGACCATCGATTGCAAACGATGAACATAGCAGTCTTTCCCGTCGCGTTGACCAAATTCGGGTTGGCGCCTTTGCTAAGCAAAAATTTGGCTTCCTCCTTTTTGCCATCGCGCAGAGCCAAGTGCAGCGGCGTGTCACGATCCTTGTCCTGAGCATTGACATTGACTTGCACCGATTTTTGTACATCCTCGACGATCTTGAAAAACCTCTCCGTCAAGCATTCGGTATAGTTGTCGTGGTCCTTGTCGTTGATCTCGTGCAGAGGTGTCAGTCCTCTGATATTGGCTAGATTTGGATTGGCGCCGTGTTGCAAAAGCAGCTTGGCCAGCTCCCAATCGCGACGCCGCAGAGCAATGATCAGCGGCGTGTTGCCACCCTTGTCCCGGGCGTTGAACCACAGCGGCCGATGTCTCGCGTGGCAGCGCTCGAGCAGCATCTTCGCGCACTCCGTATTCCCTCTGCTGCAAATCCAGTGCAGAGCAGTCCACCCCCCGGCGTCGGCCAGATTCGGATTTGCGCCGAGTTGCAAAAGCAGCTCGACCAGCTCCCACTTTTTGCCGTGCAGAGCCATCATGAGCGGCGTGTAGTTATCGCTGTCCCGGGCGTCGATCTCTACCTCATTTGGATCGGCGCAGTGTCTCAGCAACAGCTCGGTCACGTCTCTGTGGTATCCAAGCAATGCCGGCTCGATGAGATTGACGGCCTTGCAGAGCTCGAGGAATTTCCGGATCACGTCGATAAAACCGTATTTACAGGCCACATGGAAATGCGTGAGGCCCGACTCGTCGTCGATGTAATTCACGTCGAAACTGTTATAGATTTCAAACAGATTACGGATTACGTTACTGTAGTCCAATGTCTCGCGTAGAGCCACGAGATGCAGCGGTGTGGTGCGAATCTTTATAGGCTGTCCGTCCTCGTCGAGTCGGGGCACGTCTCTGTAGCCGGTGAGAGCCACAAATCTGATGAATTCTTCTCCCACGCAATCCACAGAATCCAAGAGAAGATTTTCGATAATGGATTCATCTTTGATCAAAGCTTGCAGATTTGGAAGATCACTCGACCAGTGACAAATTATACGTGAAAGTCTATAGATAAGACGGAGCCGATCATCTTTGATCTCCAAATTATGATTTTTTAGCAAGCGCTTCAATTCATTTTCTAATTCAGACATAGCGGTTACTTTACTTTTCTCCACGAGAATCACTTGCTGTGGTCGACACGATCTCTCTGTAACGATTACTCAGCGCGGCGATTGTAACGTGTATACTGAACAACTTGACTCGACCAAGCGGTTGAGCGGTAATGTAAACACGTATTTGCACAATACATAAAGACTTGACAACTTTTCAAACGCGTTAACCGATGTTTGATATAATTACTTTGCACACGAAATTTTCAATATAGATTCGAATAATTTTAGATGTGCTCAAATCCTCATTTTTTTTGGAGCAGGTAGTCAAACAATAATGTCTGAAACAATATTTCTACTTGTATTAATAACTCAATTAAAGAAGACAACTTCCTTTTTTAGAAAAATGTTTACGTATATGAAAATGAGAATAATTATTATAAATTATAATTTATTACGTATGACCCATTAATTCCCCAGAGGACGTTTTTCAACACTTTTTCGACCACTGTATTTTCGGTGAAAATGGGGTCAAGAAAATATGCGTGTAACTAATTCTAATTAAATTAAAAAGTAAAGAATTTAATTAAAAGTTAGCGGGGTTTAGATTGAATAAGATAAAGTTAAGAAATACATTTATTTCTCAAGTCCTTCGTTTTTGAGAAAAATTCTAGAAGTTTTTATTCATCTTTTCGTGTTTCGACCGCAATTTTTTTGTGTTTAAACATTCATTTTTTCAATCACAACCCCTCTCGCGCGAGTATATCTATATGTATGTCGCTTCCCTTTCGACGCTGGCCCCCACCACCGCCGACCGCTGTAAACTTATTTTTTGATATTGTGAACAATTACACTTGAAAAATTTCTAGTGTATTTTGATGTAAAATTTTACGAGGAATCGATTGGTGTAATTAATTTTTCTGTACCTTGCCTCGCTCGCGAGATATGAGCGAAAAACTCTTACCCCCTTGATTTTACCCTGATCCTGATGTTTTAGGTAAAAAATAACATCGGTATTGAATTAGCTCACCCAAAAACATAAAGTAGACAAAGTTTCATCCCTCCCCAACAAAATGCAATTTCATGTAAGTTTTCACTGGACTAATGTGTTTTGCTCTGTATCATCGCTGCGATGCGCCTTTCAATTTCATAAGTACCTCGTTCAAAAGCTACTTCATTGTAGCATAAACATCATAGGTTCAGACCTCAACTCATCCGCGTCTAGTTATGCCGACACAATCAACTTAAAACAGGTTTTTCTTGAAAGTACGAAAAATGGGCTTGAGTCGTTATGCCTTTTCACCACAGAAATATACTTCAGAATCAAAGATCCAAAACGTGTGTAGTAATACCCCCTTTTACCCTTCGGCAAAAAATTATACCTTTTTTCTTAGTACGTCGCTTCGAATGTGCTGTGAGATTGATGTTGTCCCCTGCCAGCATAAAACAATCGTAGGCAACGTTGAGGTTCAGCAGTGCCTCCTCATCGTCGCATCACAAATGTCCGAACAAAGGTGGACTTATCTATATAATAGTATATTTCTCAACGGGTGCAGCTATGGTTGTTTAGTAAAACGAGGGATCATAGCACGAGCCGAATGCAATAGTGTATCACGTGCCTAGGGAGCGAAAAACTGGAAAGCCTCAGAGCACGTGTAATTATCGTCTGAAGCGAGGCCGAGGCCGATAAACATGTGCTCTGAGGCTTTCTTTTTCGCTTCATAGGTGCGTATATTATTTTTCATGAATCCCCCAGCAGAAATTGACTTTTCCGTTTTGGCCGCCGGGACGAAAAAGGTAAACGCACTAAACACAAAACTGAAGCTCTGAGATTTTCAAGGCGACTTGATATTAAAACGCTGAATGTAATATTTTAAAAAGTATTATATAGCTGACGAGCCAATTTAATTATACGGCACAGAGTTAACAAAAAACGCTTTTACAAAGGGAATTTGAAAAATATTCGATGCGCTGTACGTAAAGAGCGTACTTGCACGGGGGAGCGCAAAGCGCGCTCCTCAATACTCAAACGCTTGTATCAAAAACAACGTATTCGAGCCATGTACTGAAACTAAAGTAAACCAATAAAAATTTACCAAACAAAACAGTCCTGTATTGATTTTTTCCTTCATTGAAATTCATAAAACAAAATTTACTTTATATAAAGCCACAGTTAATCAATAGATAAATTTAGCAAAGGATCCTATTGAACCGACAGACCGTCTTCAATCTCAGTGAATGACTGATTTAGCAGAATTATCCGTAGAATATAGAGCGTAAGTCCAAGAACTAATCGCTACACGTTCACTGGGATCAATCTTACGTAAAATAAGTTCGAATCGTGTGTCACAGGGCGTGATTCAGTCCACGAGCTCGGTGAGCGACCATTTTTTCTTTTTGCTTTTCAACGTTACATCGGCGCTCGCCAAGGCGCGCAGCTCCTAAATCGCTCCTGCGCTCCTGCGACTCGACTCTAGGCTTTGCGTGGGTGCGATCCGTATCGACTCTGCAGCCCCCGCCCTCCACGCACCCATACAACTCGACGGCGTGGGGCTAAACGCGCACTCCATTCCGAAGGGTATCCCGATGCATCTCGCCTTCGTGAATATTATTGCTATAGACCGTAGGATATAGTCGGCTTGGCGCATGCGTGCACGGCTCGCGCGTTAGTGAATAGGCACCACCACCGACGAGCAACCCCTTCAGAGGCAGGCGCACTGCACCGCGCGCATTACGGGGGTCGAGCCCGAGGCTGCGCGCACTTCCTGCGACATCATGAAGTCCTGTCCAGTTAGCTTTGAAAACGTCTTCGAATGCCTTATATGGTCAAAAGCGGAGCTGCTCGCTGACTCGAGTACATACATCTACTGTATTTCGAGGCAAGCATTTGTATACCCGCAGCGCGTTACGCACAGGACTGCGCGACTGCGATACAAATATATGCTATATATACCTATAACGTCGACGGCGACTGACAAGCAGGCCATGCTGCCCTGTTAGAAAAACAACTCGCTGCTTTGAAGCTCGATTCGAGGTCAATCCTGTTACCCTCTCTTTAATGCCCTGCCGCACGAGTCGCGCCAAGTTCATATATTATATAAAGGGTAACGCGAGCCTAGTACATCCCTCGCGGTCCTATTTTATTTTTCCTTTCGCTTTGAAGCCGTGTGCACATAGCGTGAGAACCTAGAGCTGCGCGTACATATATAGGTATAATATATATAAGCTAGCTATCCGTTTGATGTAGTTTTATTAAGTTAAAGCCACAGGAACAGCTTATATATAGAGCGTATCATCCTACCTGCGCGTGTATACGTAGGTACATCGCGTTGCAAGCTCTTTGATCATTGCTCGACTCGCAAATTGCTTTACGTGTTGTGTGTGTGCTGTACTGTATATACTCTTTTGCGACAAACTGTAGTATGACACTCGATGCACTAATTGACAGCAATTTGTAAAATATTAACTTTTTTTCAGTTTTACCGATGCTTTTTTGATCGAGCCATCGTGTTTCATCAACTTTTATAAACTGCACTTATTACGCGTAATCTCGAATAAATTTTGCACCTCGGTACTTTTGTTCATGCACTCAATTTGACAAATAAACCGTTAAATATTTTCACAACATAAAATAAAAATAAAATTCAACCTGACAATAAATTATCGTTTGACAAATTTCACATGCCAATTCGTACATTTGAGCACTACGCAGCACACAAACCACTATTTACCTAATACGAAAATCGCGCGGTGCTGCGCACGCACCAGCAGTCCGTTAAATTCTCACATGAATCTCGTTTTCTTCCGGGCCGAGCGCTCTTGTTCCGCGAGCCGAGTAAGCGGCGCCGCGTATTCGGTCCATTCTGTGCCTCCACTTGCCGCAGTAAGCACTTCGCTCCAATTTTTCACCGGGGTTTCAACATGGTAAGATCTGCCGCTGTTGCTAAATTAATTATACTTTTTCAATGATCACTAATTCTTTGATGATGGGTTTAACAATTGCCATTATCAAGGTTAAAAATTACGAGTTTGATTCGTAAAAGTCCTATCGATTAAATTTTAATTATTTTTTACAATCCAGCACGTGGGCTCTTCACGACCACGTTGCATTTTGAATTCGCTCGAATTATAATTATTAAATACTTTTGGCAACTTTCCGTTCGAGAACAAAATTGAAAGAAATTCTAGTTCTATTTTTTAATGATCAAAAAACGCATTCATAGCAAGTTATTTGTAGTTCAAATATGCATAACCTGCAATTTTACACTTTTCTATTCTATTTCTGAATAAAATGATGATTTAGATAAATTTCTGTTTATGGTTTAAACTGATAAATCATGAAGATAATATTCTAGGGCGGTCTGAATCTTATAATCGTACGAAGTACTTTTGCCGCGTGTTACTTTTGCAATTTTTTAATTCTGCATTATCTTTTACAGAAGTCGAAAACTGTGTGCCACTCCAAAGGCATCGTTTATTCGCAGAGGATAATTTCGCTTCAACCGTACAAAAATTATTTGAAAAATGAATGAAATAATTTGGAATTCCACGTGCGTTTTTAAGGTAAGGTTACAAAATTATTCAGATATTATAAAGTTAAATTCATGACTATTTTCACATACTTGATTACTTAAATGATGATTTAGATTATATTTTGTTTATGGTTTTAACTGAAAAATCATGTAGATATTATTCTAGGGCGGTCTGATCAATTAACTTGAATAATATAATTATGAAATTTATGCATTATCATATTGTTATAAATGTATCTTCTATTTCTGCAGATCGATTTTGAGACTCAACTTAATCATGGCAAAATGAATATACCAAAAATGATCCAATTAAGTATGTTAACTTGATTGCAATCATTCTGACCATGATCGGTTTGAACGAGTTGTTCATCATCTCAATTTATGTAAGTTGAAATAATTAAGAATAAAATTTTTTATCACAAGTAACAACGCCTGGGGATCATTTTCTTTGAAATTGATGGCAGTACGAGAGCCGTCTGTACGGTATGTTCTCCAGACTGCAAGGCGAATAAAGAACTTGCCCCCTACTTGTAGGTGTGAGCATAAGTTCGGTATATTCCATAATCTTGATGTAGCCCGTTGGGCCAAGACAGAGAGACAAACCATACTGAACACAGCCCATTATAAAATAATGTTCAATTATTTCAAAAAACAAACTGAATGGCGACAATATTTGTCTAGATGACGTAGCATTAACAGTTTTTTCATATTGCAGGTATCCAAAAGGTGGAGTTGGTGAATAACTACTGATATTTGAAGCCAGTGAATCATGATGATAATCATGTTTAACATGTAGTTCTTCACTTCAAGTAATGTAAGTTGAAATTATAAAGAATAAAATTTTTTTTCACAAGTAATAACGCCTGGGGATCATTTTCTTTGAAATTGATGGCAGTATGAGAGCCGTCTGTATGGTATGTTCTCCAAACTGCAAGGCGAATAGAAAACTTGCCCCCTACTTGTAGGTGTGAGCATAAGTTCGGTATATTCCATAATCTTGATGTAGCCCATTGGGCCAAGACAGAGAGACAAACCATACTGAGCACAGTCCCATTATTAAATATTATTCAATTACTTATATGTATGAACTTTTAGTCATAAATTTTTGTCTCTTAAAATTTATTTTTTATTTCCCACAGTTCATCATGACATTTGGTAGAGAAATCATTGCTGATACTTGAAGCCATCTTAAGAATCGGTAAGAATTACTTTCATCCAACTTTACATTTTATAAATGATTTTTTTATATGATGATAAAACATGATTGCCTTATCAGACCATTCTGGTGAAACCATCATGCTGCCTTCCTACTGAAGCAATTTAGATATATATTTTATTAAAAAATGTTTTTTAGAATTTTTATTTAACAGTATATTTTTTAAATTCCAGCTGCTTTGTTCTGCTGAATTATTGGTAACTTGGAAGCAGAGTATTTAGTTTAATGTGGCTATTGATATCAGCTTTCAAGATTGGTAAGTTTAATATAAAATTGTGCTATATAAACGTTTTAAGTAGTTTAATCATGATTTAATTTTCATAATAAATTGTTAAAAAGAGCTATTGACAAAGAATTAAAGGATAAATTTGAAAAAAGTAAAAAACTTGGAATTAAAAATGTTTGACAAATATTTTATGATGAGTATTCCTAGAGCCAAAAGGATTATGAAATTTTATGATTCTGAATGATAGGACTGACGCTATTAAAACATATGCTGTTCTTATTTCTATTTAAGAAATCTCAACTAATAAAAGCACTTATTTCAGATAATTCATAAAAATCAGTCTTTGAATTTGACTTCTGGAAGCATTCCAATGTCCATCAAATGTTTGAACAGCACCTACATTTTTAAAGGTATTTATATTTTTTTAATTTAAATATTTATAAATGGCTGTTATAATTCTTCTTTTTATAATGATGATTACCCATTAAGCCAAAAGGATTATGAAAAATTGTGATTCGAATTTAATCTGATTTAACTCATGTTTGACATTCAGAAGTGTTAAAATTAAAACAAAGCAAATAACTAATTTTTTTTTTCTATAGTTTCATCTTCTACCTCCATTAAAAATTTGTCTTACAATTTGTATGGGATATTTCCAACAGCCTTAAAATTTAAAAGGTAAATATAATTTAAAAATTAAGCATATTGTTAAGAAAACCGCGTTCATACTTCCAGTTATAATGATGATTACCCATTAAGCCAAAAGGATTATGAAAAATTGTGATTCGAATTTAATCTGACATTGTTAAAATTTTATACTTCACATATTTACGAGTGAATTAAAACTAATAAATATTTTTCATTACAGATTTATCAACTCTTGGATTATTTTTCTCTACAATCGTTGAACTCAAAGAAAGGTAAATATATTATATAATATGAGTGAATGTTGTTGAATTTTCATCGTGATGAGTATACCTAGAGCCAAAAGGATTATGATAAATCGTGATTCTGAATGATAGGACTGATGTGTGCAACAAAATATAAAAAAAATTGTACGCTTTAAACAAACATACTACATAAATTTCTTTTCTTTTTTTCAGAAATGCAAGTTACGTTCAACTTCTCTAAAACAAAAAATAGGAACACACTTCTCATATCTAACCAATCTGCTTGAGTTAAAAGGTGTGTATCTTGAATTATTTAAAACATTAAATTTTGAAATGAAAATATTACGCAGTCAAAGTTTTCGTGATGATTACCCATTAAGCCAAAAGGATTATGAAATACCGTGATTCGAGTTTAATCTGATGTATTATTAAAAAAAATGTTTTTTCATTTATTTCTCGACAAGTTTCTAACTAAATAATTTTTTTTTCAGAGATTGGGTTTCCATGGTTTGGCTCAATCAGCTTGCAGACTCGTTCGCTCATTAAATTGTGTAAATTTAATTATTCTACAAATAAAAAAAATTTACATCTTACAACTCTTGTGTTGTCATTGACAAATCGACCATTAAAAATTGAATTTCCCTCGATACAAAAAAAGAATCATTTTACACGCTGGCACGCCTGATCCCTATAGCGCGCCGAGTCCTTGTGTGAATGGTTTCTAAATTCCTGCGACCCTGTGCACTCTATTCCTTCCTTCTTTCGCTGTTTTTTTTCTCCCTCTCCGTACAGCAGCACCAGAATCACGCACACATCCTGCGAAATCATCGCCTATACGTGCGCACGACGAGCATAGGGTACGATCATAGGGTGCACTACACCCACACGCGCATCACAACGCACGTACAAACGAAACGAGAGACGCGAGTTGGAGGGAACGAAAGAAAGGGGCTGCTGCTGGCGGCGGCGTTGCTCGTGAGTAAGAGATATAGACGAGAGCGGCGCGCGATCCTGCCCATGGCCGTATATCCGTCTCGCGCGTGGCAAACATAACTTCCTGGTGGCGTGAATGCTTCTGGCGCTATCCTTTCGACATGTGACGCGACATTGACGAAAAGTCAGCAGCAGCAGCCGTCGCTCTGTCACATGGCGCGCGCATACCGCGGAGAAGCGTGTCAAACTCCACCGGCAAAAGCGTCTTTTTGCATGCGGGCTCCATTACGTTGTATACATACCCCTATAGCTAGCCTTGAAAACCACATCGGAATGTTCCTAGGATCCTGATAGCGCGAATGTCCATCGTATTGGCGTCGAGCCCAAAATTTATACTATATATTGTATAATAACACGAGCTGGAGTTGGTTGGGGTAAAAAAAACGTACCACGTGCAGCTGCGATACCTACTGCTGTCCGCAGGGGTGGATACATCTCGCATATATGCGGGACACAAAGAGAGGAAAAAAGGGCGCGCCATGATACGTGATGCTATGCGCGCGGAACGACGACGACGATCCCCGACGACTACAGGGTGCCTCGAGCCGCATGTGGTCCTGGTATGGAGAATATGCGTAAAGGTAAATATGTTAGGAGACGCGCTTTTGACGTCGCGCCAGGTTTGATCGAGTCTTCGTGCGGGCGATCGCCTGTGCGACGAGCGACGTGCTTCGGCGATACGATGCATCGCGGCACGAGTGCAAGCTCGCACAAATGTCGCGCTTGCGACCCTATGTACACTATATACATATGCACGCGAGCTACCTGCTTAGCTGCGGCCCTATACCGGCGTTACATTGCGCTCGGTTTCGCTGCGCCAAGTAACACTACGTGTATCCGTCTATACACATCGCAAGCTCGCGCAGCCGTACATACCGCATATGCTGCGCGAGCGCATATATATATTTAGGGAATTCGTATACGTATACGTATCTATAATAATGCCGGCAACGCCATAGCACCGCGTTGTATATATATTTTATTTCGCGACACGTATGTAAATCATGTCTTCCCGATCCTAAAGCTCGCTCCTCTATATGCTATATGTGCCGAAATCGTGTATATATTTGCGCAGCGGCATATATATTGTACATATTTGCTTGTATCTATTGTACAAGCACGTATGTGCCCTCGCGACGCATAATAAAGATGCTCTCTGAATAAAATAAAAAAACGCGTGTGTTATAATGAGCAAGACGATTCGACACGCGAATTGAATCGGGGCGTAGCCTTGCCTACGAGGGTAGCATGTCGCGCTTGGAGCTTGCGCAAGCGACAGCAACTATATAATACATATATAGGGTAGGGTAGACAGGAGGGGAGCTTTTCTCATGTTATCCTGCGAGCCGTAACGTCTCTTCCACGTGTTGACTCGTTTCACTTGCTGCTGCCTGGCCTGACCATCGCCGCGACTGCACGGGCTCGACTACTGCTTCTCTGCAAGTAGTCTGTACTACTGCCGACGCGCCAACTGAGTGAATTCCTCAGTAGTACGCAGAGCTTTGCGCGATCCTCCCGCGCGTTGACTCGTATCACTCGCTCGGCGCGTCGGTCAGCGCCCAGGCACGCAGCAGCCGCGAGCGGGAGAGCGAAATTTCGACTCGAGGCTTATGTTATCCCCGTGTTGCGTGCCACTTCCGGATTCGCGTACGCCGCGGTGCAGGCTACAGAGAGAGAGGATACAGCTTCTATACGTAGATATATATACCCTCGCTGCACGATCAGAGGCCCTTCGTTGCGCGAGCCACCACTGCGTTCGATATATATAACTGCGCGCGCGCGAGCGAGCGAAACAGAAAGAGACAGACGTAGGCCGGGAATTCCACCTCTGCACGCGAATAATGTCCTAAGATACGACTTCCTGCTCGCATACGGTGAGACGGCCACCCTACCCGTTTTGTGCGGAGAGCGGAAGTGCCTCGCGTACGTGCGTACGGTCACATGTGGATGCGCTCGAGCTTTTATGCATGTATAGCAAATTTTCGTCTTCTATCTGGTTTTTCATCACATTGGAGCAAGAAAAAAATTCAAGTAAATGTTGTTATTTCTAAACATGAGTCGATTAATTTCGTTAAATTTGTAAGCCACACGCGCGTAAGATTCCTTCGCTTTTACAAAAACAATACGCCATTGGAGGTTCTGCTGTGAGAATTAATTTCTTCATTATACTTTTGATTAATGAATACTGGTATCCAATTCAAAGTACCGAACAAATTGTTATTATTCACGATAAAATGAATGAATGAACGTTGAATGAAAATGTAGATTTATAATGGATGACGGAATTAAGGATTTGGATTTTTAACAAACCATTAACACAATACCATGCTTATATTTCAAAATATTTTATTGTATCGACTTGCTTCTAAGAATTAATTTCCAAAGTAATATAAAAACGAAAAATAAAAAATAATTATTAAATGGGATAATGGTTTAACTTGAATTACTTTGCAAAAGGATTATATCTATTTTTTCCTCTAAATATATTCGTACCTCTACCTCTACCTCTACCTCTACCTCTACCTCTTCCTCTAAAGCTTGACCTACGATTAGGAGTAGAATCTGAATCTGAATCAGATTCAGATTCAGATACGACTCGTTGAGTATTTTTCGGACAGTAGTCGGATTTGTGCTTCTTTATATCCTTGCATTTGTAGCAGAAGTACATGTCTGTATTTGCTAGTGGACATTCTCCGGCCCAATGTCCCCTCACGTTGCACCTATGACACTTTGTTTCAGCCAAGGATGGTCTTTCGGGCGAGTTATGAGTTTTAGGTGGTCGCTCGTCAGGATATATCTCCGATTCCATATCTAAAAGACAGACTCTCATATCGTCATATTTCATGTTAATTCCTCTGACACTTTTCGAAAGATTAAATGTTGATTTAAACAACGGACAAGTATCACCAACAGCATCAAAAAAAAGTTCTGCCTTCTCTGAATCGGGCATCTTTGAATCATTATATTTATCAAAATCATTGGTGAGTCTTTCAAATCGCTCGATAAAATCTCTGGCTTTTTCTTTAGCTGATCTTTTCATAGTATATAATATTTTTCTAATTTCGATAACCATGAGATCTCTTTCGAGTTGTGAAATTTCTCTTGACCCTTTATTAATGAGTTTACTCTCAGTGCCGTTCTCGTTAGTGGCTGTTGTTATTGCACGCTGCACTTCCAAAATCTTCTTGAGGATAATCTGATTCTCAGTGGCAATCTCCAACTGTTGCTTTAGGATTCCCTCGACACTGTATGCAATTTTCTTCATCTCCTCGTACCAAAGATCGTTAGGGCCTCTTCCACCCAAATGAAAAGGATATTTCTCCTTCGTTGACACTTGAAAGAAAATGATTTAAGCGTGTGAGTATTTTAGCAATCGAAAAATACATTTTTATATCATGTGTATGGAATTTGACAATTCCTTAAAAACACTGCGATTCTGACCGGCTGTGCATATCGATACTAATGAAGTGACTTTGTCAAATACACAAACAGGGTAATGCGAAACTAATCGTTACTTTAAGAACTGTATTTCTAGTTTGATATTTATACATACATCCTATACCCCAATCTAATATGTATGTGAGAGAAATTTACAGAAAAGAATTAATTGAATTAATGAATTTATTTATTATTGTGTGATTTTAATCTTTGAATATGTGAATCAAAACTTGAAACATAGAGCGCTGAGCGACCGTTTGACACTTCTTTGTCACGCTCGTTTGTTTTTGTGTGCGATAGATTTTTTTCTCACCTTGCGATGTCGTACGCTCGTGTATCTCTAAACGTGTAGCACGCGCGCTCCTACCGGCAGAGACTTGTCGAGAAAAATTACTGTGTAATGATGAGCGAATTCGAGTCCTTTGTTTTTGCGCACCGAAAATAACCGTTTTTGCCAACAATTTTATCCACTGTGCTTATTCACGCGGCTCGATTCTATGTAAATTTGTCAAATTTAAAGAAGAACTACAAACAAAAGACAAATACTTCACGAAATAATCGAATTTCCTCTTTTTCGCTCTTGCGATTCATGCGTCGGCATGCCCGAATTTTATCCGCGATTACCAAGTAATTAACACTCACAAACTGTTAAAATGACTTAAAATTTACTTACTTTTCAAGCGTACGTCCCCACTTTTTTGCCGACTCGTGATAACTTGGTGGAAATAATAATGTGACAACACTGGCTACGCACTTCGAAGAATCAATCACTGATCATGATAAATAAAGAATACTATCTATTGAGAATTTATGAATATCGTGCAGAGCTATCAACTGTAGTGTGCACACTCTATCTTTAAAAACAAATGCACGAGTCTGAGGGTATTCGCGAATAAACTCGTATCGGGTGCCGGCGTCGGCGAGAGTTAAATATGAGTGGATGATCGTCCGTTTGCGCGAACTTCATTCATTCTGTCCCCTCTACTTTATTTGCTCGCTCGTCTCGATGACCTGTGTAACAGCTCGCGGCCTCTAGGCGTCGCCAACAATATAGGTATTAACAACGAAGCAATCGAATCCAGCACAAATATGTGTTTAACGTCTCGAATAGCGTACCAAACATTCATTGATATATTAAACATGAATTTTTAGTGAAATATCGCCTGAATTGGGACTGAGGGTAATTACTTAACAATAGTTAAATACAATTAATTTACTCTTACTCAATATTTACGCAAATACGGATGATTTCAAACTTACCGGTCCCTTTAAATTTGCTTAAACTAAAAATGTACTACAAATTAAATTTGTAGTTAAACGCATATTTTTACAAAATCAAACTTGGCTTAGGGAGATTTTTACGGCTCTTCATTCTCATGTGACGCAACAAACGCAACGGTCTCCTTTTTCGACAATTGTAAGTATAGTACAGACTCGATCCGCGCATCGTGCAACTTGCGAGCTCGTCCTGTTAGCCTAGTAGCAAAGGGGCGCGAAGGTGTCTTTTGGCGCACGTGCCAATTGCCCGGCCGACGCGATTCGTCCTCCAATAAACAGTATCGCAGAGAACACGCGAATGAGGAGAATTCAACTGCGCTCGGTGTGCAATGCTACATAAGGCACGCCTTGGAACTGTGACGACCCGAGGTCCCACATACGACGTAACGCTGCGAGTTACGCGATTAACGACGCTGCGCTCGGCCCGCACTCGGCTAACATGTGCGCGAACGCGAGTATCGGGATATATATCGGGGCATTCGATTCACAGGCGGCGGATATCGTGCACCGGGGGTAGGTACTGGTCGCCGGAGGGCGCTTAGCACAGGCTCCCATGTAAGATACACGAATGAACTTTGATAAGCCGCTACTGACGCTACTGCCGCTGCCGCTGTTACGTTGTACAACGCTCCACGTAAAAGGGGTGTATGCAGCATACAAGTAGTGAACGCGCGCGCGCATACTAAAAAGCTCTCGAGTCGCTGTCCCCCATAGCTCCTACATGTGTATAGTCCATGTGCGGGGGTGCACAGAAACGTCGCAGGATCACGTAGTAGTAGGTATAGTATAGTACAAAGTCGAGCGACCTCCAGCAGAGTCTGCTGGCTTGCTACCGAAATATTCTTCGCGTTTGAGGCAATTACGCGCATTAAGGACAGGCGCCTCGTTTATATACGACGACGACGACGGGGCGATGCAGCTTGCCAAGCGGCTCGACTTTATATACATGTATCGCGCTTGCGATGAAGCCGCAGTTCTGTACATCCAACCCGCACTAGCTACCTCACAAAGAGAGACTCTATAACAAAGTTAGAGAGTTGCTACTGCTGCTGTACTGCTGCTGCTGCTGCTACAGTTGATTTTATACGGGAAAATTTATACGTTTCGGCTTTGAAAGCTTCAAAAGACGGGCAATTTTCGACGTGAAACATCGCTTTTATTCCTATGCTTTTTTTTCACTTCTATCATTCAAAATTTTATCCTCAACAAAAAAGCTGCACGACTAAATAAGCGGCAAAATCGGCTCGGGCTCGCGTATCTCCGCGAACACGCTGACGTCGGGCTCGTCGTCGGGCTCGTACTCGATCTCTTCGGGTCGCGGCGGTGGCGTCGGGGCTCGGCCCACTCGACGCGGCAAAAACGGGCCCGGCTCGCTCAGACGCGCCAGGATCAATGCCGCGATATCCTCGGCCTTGCACTTGCAGTCATCATTCTCGGTCTTGCACTTGCAGTCCAGTCGTATCACCTCGGCGCTCGGCCCGGCGTAGGCGAGCGCGTCCTTCATGTGCCACATGAGTTGTCGTTGCTGCGCAACATCATAACGTTGAACATTTACATTGCGATCGATATTTAATTATTTTTCTTTTCAATAGTATAAAAAAAGCCAACGACGATCAAACTTTTTGTTTCTTGGGATCTTCCGGTGCTTCCCACGGCAGCAACTTGTTGTTGTTGACTTTGTCAAAGGCACTCGAATCGACCAGCATGAGGACTCGGTTGGGCGGTACGATGCTCGCGTCGAGCTCCTTGAAATCTTCGACTCGCTCCACCCCCGTGAGTATCCATCTTTTGTCCAGCAGCTTCAACTGCGCCAAGCGCTCCTGTTATGGCGACGAATCATTCATCATTCTACAATAATTTAACAACAAGGTAGGGGCTTTTTTTATACGATACTTCGAAAGCTTTTATTTTGAGATCAGCCGGCGCGTCGATGACTAGCTTTTCCTTCTCCTCGCGAAGTTTCTGCCCCAACTCGCTTCTTTGAAGTGCGACCTGTGCCACCATCCGCTCGAAATCCACTTAAATTCAATGTACCATTGAAATGTTTTGCGCAACGATCGTAGAATAAGAAAAGCAGTAGCATACATTCGTTTAGTTCAATTTCATGCCTGAATTTGCACTCTTTGACTAGCTGTCTAGCCAAATCTTCGCTCAGTTCGGCTTTGAAAAAATTCAGCAAGAGTAATCGCATCGACCTGTCACATGTTGGAAACAAGTATCTTCGCCGAGCTAGGTCCAGGCACTCTTCGGCGATGTCGCGGCTCTTCTTTCCCTCCGCATGAATATCCTGGCAAAAAGTTTAATCTCGTTTGGTAATTCACGAATGGACACAAATATTTTTTAATACGTAGCGGCCGCTCTTGTGTCAATTACTTTGATCAGGTGTTTGTAAGCTCGTTTGAGTCCGGTTATATTGATCCAATAATCGTCCGACGAGTCTTCCTCTGCTCGCAATAATCGTGTAACATTTTTTATATAAACGAAAAAAATGGATCGAGTGTCATTATTGTACCTGATAAAACTATGGCGAACACGTGAGTGGGAACGATTCCGCCGTACTTCAATCGATTTGCCAAATGTTCATTCAAACCAAAATCGTCCGATGCTGGATATATCGAAGTGGTCGAGTTAATTTTGTACTTGAAATAAATGTACATCGCTTGATAAGTATAATGTGTTAAAATTACCTACGAATATCCATCCATCGGAATTGTTTTTCATGTGCTCACTCCAAATTTCTTTCCAACTTTTTATCACAGCTTCGGCGTAGCATCTCGGAGCATGTTTCAATATCTATAAATGAAACGTGCATGTGAACGTCTAGATTGAAAAGAAAAATCATGACGAACTCACGAGTGCGTCGTCGCTCAACACTTCCTCCGAAGTTATGATCGGTATCTTCAGTTTCTTGCTCAATCTTGCCGTCACACGCTGCGCATCTGTAAGTGTTAAACCGCAACCAAATGTCATCGTTCATCGTGGATTGTCGATCGATTTTTCGTTATAAGTATTGATACCGAAATTCTTCGGGACAATCATAATAATCCTTGGAGAGTATAATCTCCTAGCAGCATGACGTACGCACTGCTTCAGGTACAGCAAATGATCGTCGGGTTTTTTCAACAAGAGCATTGCAGTCATTTCCTTAAGTGAGAAATTTTTTCTCCATTTGATATTTGGATGTATATTTTACCGGTTCGAAGGGTACGATGGTAAAAAATAAGGGGTCTATTACTTGAATTAGTTCGAATATTCTATGCTGCTCTAGGTAAGAGTAGTCTTTTACCAGCATTTTTTCCATTTCGATCGATTTTACAATTGGATCCATTTTTAAATGTGTATTTGAATTCAATTTGAAATTTAACTGATCGCTTACTCAATGTTAGGTTAAATAACAACTGTATGACATTTTTATCATTTTGATTATTTACGTGTAGGTTGGGGCATACATTCACGATTTTATATGCACAATATAGGTACTATTATAGTTATAGCTAGAGTCGATTTTTAATAGTCAGTTTCGAATAATAGTTAATTGTAAAGATTGATTGTTTAAAGAAAATGTATTCCATTTAATAAGTTTAAAAAACTTTTTTATTATTCATAATAAACATACAAAGTATGTAAATTATTAAACAGCTACAGTGGCCGGGGCAGCAGCAGCAGTAGTAGCAGCAGGTGCGGCGCTCTGAGCCAATTCTTCGCGAATGCGATCTTTCTTGAGTTGACCCATGAATGAGGCCTTGTCGGCAGCAGTTTGGAAGCGACCGTGACCGAACTTGGAGCTCGTGTCAATGAATTTCAAATTGATCTTCTCCAAAGCCGCGCGCTTCGTGTGGACAAGAAGCGACTGAAAATAAAAATTACAGTCGAATTAGTTGTTTTAGTTTGAGATACTGTTCAAAACAGATGATGTTAATTTTCATCAGTTTCTTGATTTTGAGTATGTTGTCATGAATATTTTGTCTGATAAAAACTTTAAGCGGCTGAAGGTAGATGACATGGAAAACTTAACAAAAAGTAATGGACGTACCTTTCTCAAAGTGATGACTCTCTTCTTTGTTCCCATGCAGCAACCCTTAATCATGATGTAGTCATTGTTGACTTCACCATAATGGGGAAAACCACCCATAGGAGTAATGGTCTTTTCAGTAAGATCGTACTCAGTTGATGCATTATTTTTAACGACCTGCAATTATTTCAAATATTAGATTTAGGCACTGTGTGTACAAAATCCGCAAGTCTTCTTACAAATTAGAATAACAAAAATTTACCTTTCCGTCCTTAGTATGGATTCCCTCACCAATTCGGTAGATTTTCTTGTTCATTTCAGTACGGTGATGGTATCCCTTTTGACCGGCGCGGGCGACGGTGAAAGATACTCTGCTTGGATGCCAAGCACCAATACAGGCAACTTTCCTAAGACCCTTATGCGTCTTTCGCGGCAGTTTCTTGGTATGCCAACGCGAAGTAACACCTAAAAAAATGAATAAGATTTAGTAGCAATTCAAAACAAAAAGCTCGAATAAAATAAGGGGTTTCTAGATTCAGTAAAAACATAGATTTATCAGAATAATCAAGTCGATCTATAATTTCATTTTGGAAATCAAAGAAACTTGTCTCGAATAGTATTTTACCTTTGTATCCTTTTCCCTTGGTGACACCAATCACATCAATCATCTCATCTTGGGCAAAGACATTACTGACAGGAATGGACTTTTCAAGATGTTCTTTAGCCCAGTTAACTTTGTCTGCAATGGATCCACCATTGAGTTGGATTTCCATGATATGAGCTTTCTTTTGACGTTGTTTCAAAAGCTTCATTTGGGTATGAGCAATTACACGAACAACTTTACAGTACTTGATAATTTTCTTGAAGTCTTTTTCAATTGAAGCTTGACCAAGATTATCCTTCCATTTTTTGGAAGCCTTAGTAAAGGCCTTCTTCTTACTCTTATACCTGAGAAAAAATCAAATGTCCTTGTTTTTGTACATATCCTAACTGCAATGTGTGAATCTCATCAAAATGAGCGGAGATTGCTACACACTAGCCAGTTTAGCCAAATTGAGTATCAAAAACTTCAATAGCTAAAACCAGTCATATAATAACTCTCATCATAATGAGCGGAGAGTTTAAGGAGGACTAATTAAATAATTGTTTGGAATTTTTTAATAAAAACAAATAAAAAAATTGTTTAGATGTGGAAGGTAAAATAAAAAGTTGTTTACCAGTTCTTGTAAAATCTTCTTCTACAATCTTCTGAGAGATGCTCAGCCCAGACAGTGGTCAAAGCACGAAGACCATGGGGTGTTTCAATATATCCAACAACTCCAACAACAACCATAGGTGGGGTTTCAAGGATTGTAACAGCTTCGACAATCTCTTTCTTGTTCACCTCTGGTGAAAAAAAATTTTGCTTTTAAAACTGATCATATACATGTACTCAATTATTATTTACTTATAAACTGTGTTCAATATGGTTTGTCTCTCTATCTTGGCCCAATGGGCTACATCAAGATTATGGAATATACCGAACTTATGCTCACACCTACAAGTAGGGGGCAAGTTTTTTATTCGCCTTGCAGTCTGGAGAACATACCGTACAGACGGCTCTCATACTGCCATCAATTTCAAAGAAAATGATCCCCAGGCGTTGGATTACTATTTTTAATATTTATTTTAATCGATTAATATTGATATCACTCACTTGAACCAGGACGATCTGCTTCTCTTACAACGTGGGTCATACCAGCTTTGTAGGCAATGAAGGCGGTAAGGTGAACTGGTTTAGTTGGGTCATCTTTAGGGAAAGCCTTTACTTTACCACGATGACGTTGGGATCTCTTTTTAGGGTAGAATCCCATGGATCCATGACGGGGGGCACTGAATTTTCTGTGAGACTGTACAAGTATAAAAGTGCAAAAATTAAAAAATGATTGAAGGAATTATTGGAATTATTCGACATATAATGACATTTCAGACCGCCCTAGAATAATATCTTCATGGTTAATCAGTTGAAAACCATAAACAGAAAATTATCTAAATCATCATATAGCCAACTGCATTTGCAGGTTACGCGAATCCGGCAAAAATGTATTAGATTAAAAAACATTATTGGATCGTTCTCGGAAAATCAAATATATGATAATACTACGAAATCTTCAATAATGCTTTATAATGGACAAAAAATTCATCAAAACTTTTGTTTAATAAATAATAAATGTGTAAGTATTATCGATGACCATGCCACATGGTTAATCTTATGCATGTTCTTTAAAATGCATTTAACAATTTTTTGCAAAACTAAAGACGCGATGGTTAAAAAGGATCTTATCAGAATATTTTGTCAAATTTGGTATGTAGTTTTGTCTACAGATGCCAAAAATATTTTCAGATTGCAAAATGCGTCTTACCATTGTTCCACCAACGATGAAAATGAACGAGCAGCGGTGAATTTGCACAGACAGTCGCTACAGTGCACTATGCATGCAGTCGATTATGAAGGACTCTATCTCATTGTTAAAAGCGCCATCTAGTCAGTCTCGACAATATTCAAGTCCTCTTTTACAGTCATCCGTATCGTCAAATGTCATAATAAAGTAAAGTAATTTTACACCATGGGTGTTGTAAGTTGAACATTGTTCAGTAAAATCGTAATGCATTTTAGGAAAAGTACAGTCAAGCTTCTGTTATAATATAAGTACAATATTACTTTCACATCGGTCATTCACCTCGTCATATCGAAAATTTGGACAAAAAATCAGAAGTAGGTATGGAACACCGTCATCGTAGTATCAAGTGTTTATTTTGATAATAACTTCGTGATCAACTGTTCTGACCTTTTAAACGAGTTTGTCTGTTTGTCATTTTCTGCTGAACTGTCAAGATAATTTCCGAGGCTTTTTAATTTTATTTTCGTTGAAAAATTGAGGAATTAAGACATGGATATTAGCCAGTACCAAGAGCAGGTATGTAGTTTCCTTAACATTGTTTGGTTTAGTTGATTATAAAACTCAAAATTGATTTTTTACAGCTTCTCCAAGTGGAACAAGCCCTTGTCAATGCTACAGGACAGGAAAGAGAAAGCTTATTAAGTCTGCAATCTGATCTAAATGAAATAATTCAACTCGCCTATGAAACTAATGATGGTAGTGATGATGATATTAGTGAAGCTACTAATAGTACTAATAAGCCAAATAACAGTTTAGATGATGAATATGATCTATTCAAGGTACGGATTAATTTAGAAAAATGTGCATTAAATTTAGATTTTTTAATTTCATATAAAATATATTTTTTTTACAAGGCTGAAATGGCTAAACTTGACGAGCCATCATCAAATGATGATAAAAATACAGAACCTGTTGTAAAGCTAACCAAAAATTTGGAAGTCAGTATAATGATGTATCATACTAATTATAAAAGTTCAAATATTACACCGTTTTATGCTGTATTAGGAAGAATTAAAGGCTCTTGAAGGTACCAAATGTCGAGCACCGCATGGCAGCAGTTGGGGTGGTACAGGATATCACAATGCTATGATTTGTTCAGTTCATGCAGAAAATAGTGAAGATTCTGATTTAAGTGATGTGATGGTGGGTGAATAATTTTAAAAATTTATAATTTATGCACATAATTAAAATGTTATAACTTTATTCAGGTGAGGATATTGTTTATAAATCCAACACATAAAGAAATGCTTCCTTGTCCTTATTTTTTGGATGGATCTTGTAAATTTTCTGAAGAACAATGCCATTTCTCTCATGGAGAGCTTATTTCATTTGCAAAACTGGAAGAATACAAGTAATAAAATTCATATTCAACCTTTTAAAAAATATTCAAACTGAGAAATGTGTAATTAAATAATATTTTTTTAATACCAGAGAACCAGATTTTTCAAATCTTAAAATGGGCAGTAGGATATTGTCAAAACAAAAAAACAATCTGTGGCACAGATCTGTAATATTAAAATGTCCTGATAATTCAGATGAATTGTACCAATTAAGATCTGAAGCAAGTGGTACTGTGTCAGAAGTTGGAATACAAGACATATTACCTCTAGGTAAAATTTTTTCATGACATCAAAAATAGTTTACTATTTATTTTACTTAAATTATTTTCTCATGATTATAATATTAGATGATACTGGACTACAAATGTCTGAGTCTTCTGATGACAGTGACTATGAAAAAGAAACTTATTCAAATATAAATCAAGAACCCAGTGAAGAGTTGATTCAAAAGGCACTTTTAACAGGTGATACTAGTAAACAACTTGGTGCATGGGAGCAGCACACTCGAGGAATAGGTAGTAAATTAATGGAAAAAATGGGTTACGTACATGGTACTGGTTTAGGTAAAAACTCTGATGGTAGAGTTCAGGTTGTAGAAGCAAGTGTTTTGCCAGCAGGAAAATCACTAGGTAAAAAATTCTCATTAATATTTCTTTTCAAATTTACCTATGGATTATTAAATTTACTGGAATCTTACTTTAGATTACTGTATGGAATTGAAAGAACATGCTGGTGGTGATAAAAATTTATTCAGTGTTGAAAGACAAATGCAAAGGCAAAAGAGGAAACTGAAACAACAAAGAGAAAAAGAATACTCTAATCAAGTAAAAAGGGAGAAAAGTAATGTTTTTAATTTTATAAACAAAACACTAGGAGACAAGAGTAAGTTAATTTTCATATTTCTTGTACATTATGCACATTTATTAATTCAAAAAATTTTATTGTAAAAGCTGATGAGCCAAGCAGTTCCAAAGACCACAAAGAATTGAAAAAAGAGTCTAGTAAAAACCTCAGAATAGCAAGTTATCAAATTGAAGAAAAATTATCAAAACTGGAAAAAGAATCTGCCTATTTCCAGAAGTCAATGAATCAATTTGCTGCTAATAGTATACAACATAATAGTGCAGTTGCAAGATACAATGAAACTCAAAAAAAAATCACGAGTTTAAAAGCATCAGCAAAACGCATATCATCTGAACAGAATCAAAGAAAATTCAAGGAGAAGTTCACTGAATTTTAATATCGAAATGGTAATCATTTTCGAAATGATATTATAGATTATTTGTAAATAATTAATTATATATATATTATATATTTATTGAAAAATTAATTATAACGTTTTAATAAACCCAAGATGAGCATTATGAAAAGTGTATTATGTATTATTTTTAAAATCGTGCATTTCACCCTTTACTTTCACTTTTTGAATCATCAATCAGTGCTGTCGTCAATAAAGTTGTGACAGCTGATTCCTTTGGATGATGTGAGCCGTCTATTCGAGCACGTGCGGCGCCACAAATCAGTTGTAGACCGCAGTGTGCCGTCGACAGTCGACAAAACACACGTGTTTATAAATATACAACTGTAGTCGAACATGTCAGATCAAGACTGCGAAATGGAATCGGCTGCCACCGAATCGGCTCGCAATATCAACAAAAAGTTAATAATTAAATAAATATTATCTACTCTATCAGTAAAAAAAAAATTTAAATGACTTAATCTGTTTTTTAGACTGGAAGATTGCGAGGTGTGCCAGGCCAATAAAGCAAAATATACATGTCCAAAATGCGAGGTTAGAACTTGTTGTTTGACATGTTCAAACATTCATAAACAAGAGTTAGATTGTGACGGAATTCGCGATCAAACCAAGTTCGTCGCTAAAGATAAATTTACAGATTTGGATCTATTAAGTGGTGAATATTATTTTTAAGTACTAATTCATATATTATCATTAAAGGGAACATGATTTTTATTAAAATAATTTTTATTTAGATTATCGCTTCTTAGAAGGTATTGGAAGATCTGTTGAAGCTATGCAGAAAGATCCTTTAAAATTATCTACCCGCACTGGAAATTTGCCACCAGTAGGTCTTTTTTTTTCTAAAATTTCAAAATATTTGAATTTTAAATTTTTGTGCTGATGTACTGATTACTTTTTAGATACTAATGAAGTTGAGAATTGCTGCACAAAAAAGGGGTACAAATCTCAGATTTTTACCCCGACACTTCAGCAAACATGCAGAAAATAGCACTTTTTTAAATTTTAAAACACACGAGCTATTTTGGAGACTGGAACTAATTTTTCCAAATGCAGAAAATTCAAAATGGGTGATAAACAGGTAAAAATAAAGTTTCATAAATTTTTTTATTGTACTATAAATTTGTATAACTGACTGTATTTTTGATATAGAGTTCAGGATGAAAAAAAACTGTCTACAGTATTAGAAGAACTTTTTAATGCTGATCCTTTGAAAGAACAAACAGAAGAATCATCAAAGTAAGTTGAGAAAATTAATATTTGTAAGTCAAGTATTATTTAAAAATTATTTTGATATGAATTTTTATTTTTTTTTTTAGTAATTTAATCGCGTTACAAAGTAAATTGAAATATTATAAAGGAACTGGAATACCAGGATTAAGAGCCCTTTTAAAAGCTGAAGGTGTAAAAAAGTCAAATTCAAGGTAATTATTAACTACTGACAATTGTGTTCAAAAATTTCATTCAATAATCAATCTTGTTTCAGATTTTGGGAGTTGGATATGACAGAATCTCTGAGAGACAACTTCAATAAGAAAACAATAATAGAATATCCAATAATATACATAATTTTGAAAGACCACGCAGACATGTTTGAAATAATAGAAAGTGGTAAAAATTAATTCTATATGGATTTTCAATATTTAACGAGTTATTTTGTGAATTACAATGCTTATTTATTTTACAATTTTAGATGATGAAGAGTTTAAAGAAGTTAATATAAGGAAAGAAAATCCAAAGAGAAAAATTCATGACAGTACAAATCTCAAGCCACCTATTGTGAAGAAAAAAGTTGAAGAGACAAATAATTTCTTTTTCAATGGAGATTTGTCGGATGATGAAGACTCAGAACAATTTTTGTAAAAAGATTTGTATTTAATTTTGTATTTTTTTTAAAAAAATCGTATTGTACATACATAATTTTTTGCCATAATATTACATTAAAATTATTTTAACATTGATAGGTTCATAATTATAAAGCATCTATTTTTCTCGTATTTTCTCCCAAAGACAATTCAAATACATATCACTTAAACATTGACAAGTCATTACAGTCTATCAAAATTAATGTACATATGTAAATCAAACAAAACTCACTTTTAAAAGATGAATAGCAAAATATAATCCAAAAGATGTTTTGGTGAATCAGGGATTTTAAAAGTAAAGCTCATACAATAAAATTGATGTAAATAATTTTTTAATCATGCAGCTACTGTTTTTCAACTCATTAATATAAGTATAAAACTAACCCTTCACAAGATAACAATACCAAAATTTTTTTCTTTTACTAAAGAATGAAGAAGTATAATACAAATGCTGAAAATGCAACTAATCCAACAACAGCCTTAACATATATCGATTTACTATTCAAGAGAGCAGCATCTTTTCTGTACTTCTGTGATAGCATGGATAAGTGTTGTGTTTTGGAGTCCAGTTCTGAGAATTAATTAATTTACAATTATTATAAAATTGTATGCATATTATTAGGATTGTAGAGTTAATGTCAAACCTGATAATATTGTGCCTCTTTGCAGGACATCATCAATATTTTGTACCATTATTCTCTGGACATCTTGAAGTTGTGAGTTTAATTCATTCATATTTCTTCTAGGTTTTCCATCTAAAAATACCTTTTTAGCTTTTTTCAAGTAAGTGTCAAATTCAATAAATGTATAGGGCCTTGTAACAGTATTGACTCTTTTGCCGTACTGAGCATTAAATTCTTGCGCTATATCTTCTAAATAACTGTAAGCAGTAATTTTCTTATAACGAGGTTCACATAAAATTAAATAAACCACATCACCCTCTATCAGATAACTGAAAAATAACAATAATGTATCATTAAAGTTTGAAAGCTCATTGAATATTCAAATTTGAAGAAAGATTGCTTACTGGAATAAATATGGACCAGTTTCAATAGTACACTTTTTAGGTGAATATGAGTTCAGTTTTCTGAACAGCATTTTTGCTTGATTGTTATATTCTACAATACTTCTTCCAGCCTAAAAATTATATTAAAATACAATTACTCAGTTAAAGTAAGATAGATTGCAAGCTTATCTAAATTAATCAAAATCAATAAAAAATTGTCTTCCAAAAGTGTTGTTTCATCCATAAATGAAACCATTATTTTATCAAGGGCTACTGGTACAATGGAATAATTGAGTGAGTAGATAAATTGCGATGATATCATTGTACCTTAATTTGCATCACTACTCAAATATCTCTTACATTATTACGGGAAAAAGATAAAGCACGATAGTTCACAAGAACAAGTCCAACTCTAAACTTGGTGAAAATATCTCATCACGGTAATTACCGGTCGTGGCATTATCTCATTAAAATTGCTCATATCCATTAGAAAAAAAAACTTTCTAACCTGCTCGTCTTCCTCCATAGCAGCTGCTAGGGGCAAACCGTCACTTAATCGCGCTATCATCGTCATTAAAATCATCTTGGCGATCTATTGTTTATTCGATGCAACGATCCAAAGTTCAGCAGAGCAACGAAATTCCGTGAGACACTTTGCGGCGTTATTTACGTTAGAAAAAGACGAGACAGATCGAAGGATTCTGCACAGCAGCTTTGACGTGCGACTCGTCTGCGGCTGTTATTATTGCAACTGCTGGCAGCTCTGTACACAGTATACACACACGCACGCAAAACTCGACACACGGGCGCGTCAATCGTCAGTTTAGCGATGAAACTCGACTAGCAGCAGGCAGCGCGAATTACTGAGGCCTCTCTTGCGATTCGCCACAAAGCCGCGTCCACGTCAGTAACTTTCAAGTTCGTGAAATGTTACACGTTTTAAAACCGCAAAAGCTGCAATGTACAAAAGTTTTATTGATTTTCCGGATTGTGATTAAACAACACGATTGTGCTTGATGATGTAGATAACGGAAAGACGTTCCGTTATGATATTCGGTTTGTTTGTATCGGGTTAAATGTCTTTGACAAGGCAATTAAAACACATTTGATATTCTGTAAGGAAAAGGCTTGTAATGAGCCCAGAAACGAGGAAATTTCCCTTTTATCAGCATTAGGAAATGATTAAACCCTAAAATATTCAATCGAAAGCTTTGTACCAATTAAAATATTAAGATAAAGCCTGTTGATTGATGGTAATGAAGCAAAACATAACTACATGCATTATCTCAAAGTAGTATGCGCATCATTAAAATTCATTAAATTCAATCTGTAATTCCCAAAAAGCCATCTGTCAAAAATGTGTATTACTGGGTGAAATCTCATCGTGTCGAGATACATATCGAAACGCCCGCGCTCAGTCCGAACTCCGAACTCCGACAGTAAGTCAGTCTCCTCAGTTTATATATCCGCGGCCGGTTTCAGCGCCGTTTGCACGAGAAACGGACAAGTTTTGCGAGCATTCGAAACCACGTCTACATTGCTACGCTGCGGGGCGGCCGCGCTGACGTGAATCGCCTACGTTTTATCCTATATAGGTGTGTTATTATTATATGTACGCAAAAGTGTATTGGTGATAAGCCGAGCGAGCGCAACTAGATAACCAGTCGCGGCGGTTTAGCAGCTTGCGACACTACTTTTACTGGCTGTCACATCGAGTATATTTATTCTATATATAAAATTCGAGTGCGCCTAGTGGCATGCCTCGCGGGTACGCAGACACGTAACGTACTATCTAGAATATAGGTAGCACAGCAGCAGTCACTCCTGAAGGCTCCCCTTCTCTTGTTCGTATAATCGCGCGCGGCGTAATCTGTGGCACAATATTGTATTCACCTATAGACGTGTGTATGTGCCAATATTGTACAGTGTCTGTCTCTGTGCCTATACTGTGTTGCATGTGTGTATGTGGGTTTGTACGTGTGTGCGTCTGCATAATATAGCGTGTGTGCAATGTCCGACTGTATGCCAACTTCTTGAAGAACGTATAGCCGTGTGCGTCGGCCCGACTGTCTTTACATAGCATACATATCGACTCCGCGATTCGCACACTTGCGCGCGTGCAGCTCTCGCTCGGTCGCGCGAGATCTCCCGCACCACCGCAACATATTGTATAGATAATAATTAGAGTCGAGACAGCGAGAAACGAGTATCAGCGATTTCCCGACTGTGTGCGTGTAATCGCGAGCGATCGTCGTCGTTGCACAGGCTGCAAGCAAATTATTTTCTCGCTCTCTCTCTATCTCTCTCGAGTGAGTGCGGGTGGATACGTGTGTGTGTGTATGCAGCAGCAGCAGCATACACGAATAAAGGTGCAAAAGTGCATTACTATATGATATGATCCAAGGAAAAGCGGCGCCGAAGAACGTTCGAAGCTGAGAGTGAGTGCAATTGGATGCCTAGCAGCAGCCTTTTTTTTTAACGCGACGATAGTAATAGTGGCTTGCGTGTACGACACATCGAGAGTGCGTGTGGCAATGTTCCCCCTTTCCATGCTCTCGCGCGATATGTTACAACCCGCGAGTACATTTGTCCGTGCTGCGTTCACAGCTGGCACACTTTGACCGCCGAGAAACTGCATTCGATGTTGTTTTTTTGTTGATTTTTTCACGCGGAGATTTCGGACAACGCAGCTCGAGTGCATCTTTTCCATGTCGATCCTCGATCGACTCCGAAATTGAATGACCAATAGATAGCAGAGTTCGACCGTCGCGCGTGAAATATCTCCGCTCTCTTTCTCGCTGTGTATACATATGTGGGTGTGCGTATACGCCAAACACACATATACGCATGAAGCAAAGCAAATCATTGTGAAAGCTGCACTGTCACTTTTTTATGCATTTCGCATTGGTAATAAATGTTTCGAGCAACGACGCGTGTTTTCCGTTTTCTTACCGAATAATTAATTAATCGATGCATTGTGCCATGATCTCGGCAACGAAGAAAATAGAAAAACATTGACGTACCCCGCTTTCTGCTTTGACTTATTTATCGCTTATCTAAACAAACGTATGTTGGCTTTATTTTGCGTATTGTAGTATTCATACAATCACTGCTTTCTTTGCAGGTTTATCATCGAGACGTCTCTCTTCGTGATATTACTATTTTTATATTATTATGGATGTGAGTATTAAATTATTTTTTTCAAGAAATGGCTTTTATGTGCAGTCTCAAAAATATGCATTTTTTTCTGTACAGAATCCCTACAGAGCACGTCCTACAAGAGCAAGAGTAGATGCCAATCAATCAGGATATGGAATACAGAATCAAAAGCCATGGAAAGCAGGTGCAGTGCCAAGACCTCCTAGTGTCAATGCTAATGTAGCTTATCAAACACCTCCAGCTCCTGCAGTAAATCAGAACAAGTCTGATGATGCCTGGAATTGGAATGTAGATAATGCTAATAATGCCAATAATGTTAATAATGGAGGTGATTCCTGGAATTGGAGTGTTGAACAAAATGATATGCAGCATCCGCAACAACCTCCGCAGCAGCAGGTGCACCATCAAACCAACCAACCTCCATTATCAAATCAGTATACTCCTTATTCCAATCAAAAGCCTCCTATTCCACCAACAAATCAAGATAGCTATTATAAAAATGTAAATGGAAATAATAGACCAGTTGTAAATTATGGTCAACAAGCTACTTCTGGTAGAGAAACTTCAAGAGCAGGAATTCCACCACCAGTCAGAGATCCAATGCTGAAACAAAATGATTCTTACCCTCAATACAGCAATCATACCCAGAATCATCAGTTTACTTCGCCTCCTAGACCAAATTCTAATTCATCTTTTTCTGCGGATCAATGGTCAAATGAACAGCAGCATAGTCAAAGTTTGCCATATGCATTACCAAATCAAGTACCCAACCAAAAACTACAACAAGTTCATCAAAAGCCTACACCAGTTATTCCACCTGTAAATAATTTTAATTGGGAACAACAGCAATCTCCACAACAGTATCAGCCACAGCAGCAACAACCACTGCAACAACAATCTCAGCAGCAACAACCACTGCAACAACAATCTCAGCTGCATCAGCCATTGCAAGAACAAATGATACAACATCATTCAATGCATCAACAACCACAACAGCCCTCAACAATTCAGCAACAACCACTGCAAAATCAGCCCCTGCAACAACCGCATCAACAAACAATGATTCCACAAATACCATTACAAAACCAATCAGTGCAACAACCACCTAATCAGAAACAAGTTCATCAGCCACCACCCGTTCAGCAGAAGCCGATTCAGCAATACCCTTTGATGCAGCAACATGCCGTTCAGCAACAATCCCAACAACAACAAACTCCTCCTCCGAAACAGGAGCAACAGAGTATTCCTGCACATAATTGGCAAAGTAATGTTGAGTCAAATTCAAAAAATTATTGGCAAGAACCTCACAGTTCTACAAACCAGGATCATTATCCGGATACTACATGGCCCCAACAGGTAAATTGATGCACAAGTCAATTTATTATTTGAAAATCTTGATAATTTATTTAAAAATTTTATGTGAATTATTGCTTTTTAATATTAATGTTTTGATAATCCTACTTTTTTAATCAATCAACTTTTGAGCTTTTCTTCATTCAAATTATTTTGAATTTTTTGCTCATTTTTTTCTAAAAATTATTCATTGTGCTTTTAGAATCAACAAACAATGCATCAATCTCAACAGAGCAAACCAAGTCTTGTAAACAGCTTTTCATCAACTACTAATGCAGTTAATACAGAACAACCAAATTTTTATAATTCGCTTGAAGCTAATTACCAAGAAAATGCTTCATCTGCTAGAAATTGGTTGCCTCCAAATCCTTTAATGTCCAATCAATGGTCCAAAAGCAGTTCTGAGAATGTTTTACCAAGACAACAGTCTTTACCATCTAATAATTCCTGGTCTCAGTCTGATGATTTAGGTTCATCAACACAATGGCAGCCAGGAGCTTCTTCTAATATCTCTAATACTCAGTGGAGGCAGTCCAAATTGCAACCTGGTGGATCGTTAGAAGAATCATCTCTTTCCGAGAATCATAAAAGTGAATGGCAACAAATTCATGCTTTGCCCTCACATTTTAATTCGTCTACCACTTCAACAACTTCAGGTTCAATGGCTAATATGTCCAGTAGTACTGAACAATTGGAAGATAGAAAAAGATCATTAACGCCTACTACTAGTTCTACATCATTAAATGATCTTCAATCTCAAATGGTTTGTAGAATAAGTTGTTATAAAAAATATTTAACTGCAAAAATAATACATTTATCCAATATTTTCAGATTACTAGTAACAATCAAATTAGCGCAGATAATAGCATATCTGCTAATACAGAGAGTCATTCATCTCAAAATAACATGGATCTTGATTGGAATGTTGATGTTGATTGGAATCCAATTAATGATGTAGCTAACAGTGTCAGTAATCTGAATCTTAATCCTACTTATGATCAGAATGCAGAAATTACCTTAGTTAAAGAGAATACTGCAGAGCAGCCTAATGTAGATAATGATTGGAATATTAAATCTATAAAACAAGAGCCAGTTGAAAATGTTACACTAAACACCTCTGATGTTTTAAAACAAGAAGCATTTAGTACAGAAAGTACTGCAGTTATAAAATCTGGACCTTTTGATGTTTCTAAATCTAGTACCAGTAAGATAAGTGGAGACAATGCCAGCTCTGTAAATTATGACCAGTGGTATAACCAGATGGCAAATCCATCATCAAGTAATAATGCATTATTTGGTGTTGAGCGATCTCAACTACCCTCAAAACAGCAGCGGCAACCAGAACTACCACAACCATCACAACAAGCTGTTGAAAATTACGAAAACATTCATCAACCAATAGACTTTGTCAATTTGGAAGTTGTTACACCGGAAGTTCCGGAAAGAGATTTATATGGCTCGCGTGATTCAATTAACAAAGAAACATTGGACAATGATCAACAGCAAGTTCTACGTCAATCAAGTGCACCAAAAGAACCTGCAATTCGTGATTTTAGGCAGGAAGTCAGCAACATTGAAGTTCCTACTGTTCAACAGATCCAACAGGCTATACCAACTGAGCAGCAGGTGTGTTTAAACTTACTGTTACTTAGATATTCAGTAAAATTGAATTTTTTTGTTGGTCGTTTGCCAAAACTCTAATAATACTTTAGAGGACGTTGTATTTCCTCAAAATTGTTGCTCGATCAGTGTGAACGCCAGTGATGTGTTCAAAGTGTACATTCTGTTGTATATTGAAATTCGCAACAGTTTTCAAATGAAGTTTCATGTTCGTTTTCAGACTCCTGACAATTACGAGTTCGCTTCGAATGACCGGAACACTTTTCTGGAAACGGGTGAACTCACAGATCCTCACTCTCAAACTGAGCAGCCGAGAAATCCAGTACCGCCAAGTCAAGATGATGAAAATGACGAGGTGCCCAGTGACATTCCATTCCTACGCGAAGTGCCCGGTCAATCAGCCAGCGTCGATCAGCGTCGCAACGATCCTACTGGACAAGAGCAGTATGCCACTCAGGTCAGTGTTGTTCTCGGGCCTCGCGTGTCCGATCCACGTAGGAATGAACCTTCTGGACAGGATCAGCAAACTCATGGACCGCCCTTACGCCCAAGTTTGCATGGTAAGTAATCGTTTCCATACATTATGACATGAGACATTGAATGTGTCTCGTGAATTTCATTTTTTTCATATGGAATTATCAAACAATAATTCAAATGATAATTATAGTAGCGCAAACTTCATTTATGTTCGCCAAGTTTTTCTTATCTGCACTTTTGAAGCTTTTGTATACAACGTTTATCATACGTCGTACTGTGCGATGAATTTTATTGACGGTTTTTATCATTAGCAAGTTGATAAATTATACATTTAGAATATTTCCATTATACACTGTTTTTTTTTCATATAAACGTCTTAAAATGAAATAGACTTATAAAATTAATTTATTTTTATTCGGTTTTAGCTGATCGGTCATCGGATAGACGCGATGTACCACCTGGTCAAGAGCGCTCAGTGCCCAACATCGTTCAACAAACACAAGCATCCGCCCCAGTTCAGCATCAACGAAGCAGCAGCAGTAGTGAATTGGACAATGTGAGCCTCAGCGAACGCCGCAACGATCCTTCAGGTCGAGAATGTTCCTTACCACCAGTTCCGCCACCCACTCAGTCGCGGAACGAGCCATCGGGCGAGGAACAGCAACAGCGTTTCACTGGTGCCACTGTAAATCAGCTCGAACCTAGAGAAATTCCAGGTCGAGGTAACAACGAGCCCGATGAGTCGATCGTACCGACGAACGATGCAGTAGCTACTAGACAAGTGCCCGGTGGATCGTCGCCTCAGGATTCCGTGCAGATGATGACAATGCCGGATGACAGGAGTCAAGCCGCTGGTGCAGCAAGAGTTGTTACGGGTTCGCAGCAGACAGGCGGTGCTCCTTGTAAGTCACGAACAAAGATAATAATTTTTCAACTCGAGTTATCCTAATTGAAATACTTGTATTTTTAGCGTCGACCGTGGTGCAAGATTTGTCAAGCGATAACAGAAGCAAACGCGAAGAAGCTGTTGGTGCTTCGATCGGTGAGCGACAAACAGTCCCGCCGAATCGACGCGATTCTTATGAAGACGGTGACGACGAAGGCTCTGGCAATAGCAGGGACGAAAGTCGAGATAGGCGCAGAGAAAGTAGTCCAAAGCCAAGACACTCTCGGTATGATTACAATCGAAAGCCTGCATAGTAAGTCTGCAATAATGTTCTACAAACATGTATAATGCTATCATTATTGCCTGTCCAATAATCGTAGACGTTTCTTACTTTCCATAATACTATAGTTGATAACTGTTGAGTAGTGCTCTCTTAAATGTAGATCTATTGAATGAGCTTTAACATTTCAATATTATTTTCATTCAAATTTATTTATGGTTACTAAGGAGGTATACAACAATGAAATTTGGAAAAATTATTGGCAAAAAGCATGCATTACACATTTATTTCATTACTGTAGATAATTTACTCTGCTTTTCTGTTTTGTAAACATTGGTTTTAATTTATATCATCTTTTACAAAAAAATTTGATTAACATTTTCAGCTACGACCGGGATCGAGATTTTGAGGACGATTACTACTATGATCGCCGTCGTCCAGCAGAATACGATCGTCAATATGGTTCTCGAGAAGATCTGGACCGTCGCGATACATCCTTCCGTGACGAGGACGATCGTCGTGATCGTACAGCGCATCCACGAGACGATCTAGATCGTCGCAATCGCATGAAAGACGACATGGACGAATCTAGGCGCAGACCAGATGATCGTAACGGTAGAAGGGATCGATCGAACGGTGATCCGAGACGCATGGATTACGATTCAAGATATCCTGCGAGAGACCGAGATTACATGGATAGAGATAGGAGGAGGGGTAGAAGGTATCCTGAATATGATCCAAGAGATCCGAGAGAGAACTACAGAAGAGACTACTACGAGGATGCATATGGAAGAAAGTAAGTCATTTTCAATTCAAGTCAACAGGATCTAAAAGGAGTTTTTAAAATCGTTTTTATAAAATTTTAGTAGTTCGAGACCGTCGAGCAGATCGTCTTACAACGACAGAGATCGAGATTACTACAGTATGCGCCCAAGAGACCCATACTCCAATTATGGTTACAGTGGTAAGAATTATCATCAAATAAGTCACTCGAATTTTTTAATCACTTTTAAAATTAATTATTATCTAAAATAATTTAGGCTACGAGTACGGTTCAACCAATTACAATCGTGATTATTATGCTTATTGGGAAAATATGCGGAGAACGGATCCTGCTGCCTACGCTGAATGGTATCATAAATATTATCAACATCAACAACAGGTACAACGAGGTGTTAGCACAACGTTTACTGAAGATCGAGCCAGTGTACATTCCGGTCGCAGTTCTTGCGATGAAAGGTAGAGATTGTTTTTATTTTCAAACTAAATGAATTATTCCAAAATTTCCGCACCATTTGATTTTAATGAACAAAATACTTTTTGCTAACGCAACCATGTGTTGTTAAATTGCACATCCTTGTTATATATTGCATGTCAGATCCTTCGCTTACCCGAATGTATATCTGCGGCCGTCGAATAATGCCGCATCCATATCTTCTTATTTCAACTATGGATGGTCAAGAAGTCCCTCGCGAAGACGAAATTTATTTGGTCGAAGTAATTCAACTAGGTGTGACTTGAAAAAAAAAACAAGTAGAAATGCCAGTCGAATTAGAATAACATGCTTCTTTTATTGCGAAATATTCAAATGCTTAATCTTACATTATCGATATATATAGTTTTTAAATTTTTTGTAAAACATGAAAAACGTTAAATTATCACGTTTTTATTAATTTCATAAATTTTTGTGCAGAAATTCCAGTGACAAACGGATTCTGACTGATGTGTCAATGATGGAGGATCAAGTAACAACTGTATCTTCAAGGTTAACTCCAACTAAGTTCGCCTCGGCTCACGCTAAAGGTACTTTTACTATTGGATCCTTATTGCACATGCCTGCTAGTTATCCAACTGAAGGAGAAAGAGCAAGGATTGATTTCCTGCCAATGGAGAATATTTTATCACATGATCCAACATTCCGAGAACTTCGTTCTTATCCAGGACCACTGATGAAGTAAATAAATGTTTTCAAACTTCTTTCGCATTTATTTTCCTATATTTAATGGACTTTTTGTTTTTTTAGGGGCATAACTCATAAAAAGACTATTATTGAATACTGTGAAAAGAAGATCAAAGAAGCCTCTACAAATGAAGACGTTTTCGAAGTATCATCTTACGTATTGTTGTATGAGTTGATGATTTTGTTGATTCAGCAAAACGGGGTAAGAATTCAATTATTCAATTAATAAATGAAAAATGTTGGAATTTTAGAAAATTTGTCATTATTTAAAATTTAATCAATTTTGTAGAATGTTGTTGGAGTGGACATTGCGACACTTTTATTGAAAAACAAAGATGCTTATCCTTATGAAGCAAACAGTCATCAAAGAGACAGGAAACGTAGAGATTCCACCGTGTCTCAGCCATCCGAGGCTTCTGGAGGTGATAAAGGTGTGAATAATGACAATGCTGTGTTTAACCAAAGTGAAATTGAAGAACCCGTCAAGCCTACAAAAACGATCCAACAGTTGACGGACGAGTTCAGAAATTATTTACTTTATGGTTTAGTTCAAGAAGCTCTTGAATTTGCGATGGTTGAAGGTTTATGGGGACACGCTCTTTTCTTGGCTAGCAAATTAGATAAACGTACGCACGCGTCAGTTATGACACGATTTGCTAACAGTTTGCCTCCACAAGATTCGTTGCAGACACTTTATCAATTACATTCCGGACGCATTCCTGCCAATGTCACTGTGAGTAAAATGTTTAATCAATTTGTTATAATGTTATAATTTGTTTTACAAATGCATTTTTTATTACAGAATGTTGTTGATTCGCGTGGAGAGGATTGGCGACCTCATTTGGCTATGATAATCTCTAATACTTCATCAAATCCAGATATAAATCGAAGGTCAATTGTTACTTTAGGTGATACTTTAGCATCAAGAGGCGATATTCATGCCGCTCACTTCTGTTACATTCTCACTCAAGCCGATTTCGGCTCTTACGGATCGAGTAATAGCTCTAAACTCGTTTTGATCGGTGCTAATCACCAAAAACCTTATTCCGAGTTCATGAGTACCGATGCCATTATGCTGACAGAAATCTACGAGTACGCCCGGAAACTCAGCGAGCCATCATTTTGTTTGGCTGAGCTTCAAAGCTTTAAATTTGACATGGTCATTAAGATGGTTGATTACGGACTCATCGAAAAAGCTTTACTTTACATTGAACAAATAGCAACTAACATAGCTGCCAACCCGGAAAAGTACAAGCAGCCATTTATAAATAAAGTGTATGTTCTTGGCGATCGCCTCAAATATTACGATCCAGTTTGCAAAGATTCTGATGAAGATGCTGCCAATCTGCCTTGGCTCATTAATCTTACCGAAATTGTGGGCAAGTTTGAGAAGGGCGAGATACAGGAGGTTGCTGCTAACGCCACAATAGCCGAATCGAATCTTGAATCTAATGACAACGCCCAACATCAGCAACAACAACAACAACAACAGCAGCAGCAGCAGCAGTCGTGGAATAATTACGGTATAGATGGCAATCCACCATCGCTAATGTCAGTTCCAGAAGTTGACACAAGCGTAGCTTGGCCAACAAAACCTGTCAATGATGGTTATGGTTTGGATAATCAGTACAAACCTGTAAATGATAACCAACCGCAACAGTACCAATCTTATCAACAAGATTATTGGGCCAGCCAGCAGCAGCAGCAGCAACAACACCAACAACAACAACAACAACAACAACAACAACAACAGCAGCAACAACAACAACCTCAACAACAGCCAAATTATGATCAGCAAGATTATGGATCTTACCAGCAAAATGATTGGCAAAACCAATACGGCGCTGAGAAGCAAACTGAACAAGTTGACGCTCAAAACAAGTGGGGCTACGAGGTTGGTTTATTATTTCTATTTTATATAGTTTAAGTTGCTTTTTTTTACTAAAAATAACGCGTTTTGCTTAAGGATGAAGGAAAGTCAAATTATGTCTGTAGTGTGATGAAATTTTAATTTTTAAGAAAACTTCAAAAGCAATTGCAAATCAGATTCGTGTATATTTTTTGAATGAAAAATTTGCTTATGAAGTGTTTGAGCAACTCGTCGAAGCATATTATAAACATTCGTAAGAGCTGATGATTTGCTCAAAATTTTGATAATTAACCCTGCACAAAAGTATTAGTAAGGAGGGGATTTGGAATATAACGAATGTAATTCAAACAGAAAATACTAATTTTAATTTTTAATATTCATAAAAAATGATGGATTAAAAATTGAACTAGAATTGCTATAGTTTGTGCACAGTGTTGATCGAAACACAAAAATATTAAACCCACTTAAAGGTATTCCGATTCCTCCTCGCTAACAATATAAAAATTCACCTCACAAAAGTCAAGAAAAAGAAAAACTAACATTTGTCCATCTCACCTGTTCTCTTTAACGCTCGCAATTACCCCACATCATCCTTGCATCATACTGGGTCGAAATCGCAAAACGTTTTCACCCTCCATTGAAGAAGGATAAAGCTGCTACGGAACAGCAGCAAGCCAGTGAGGCTAAAACAGCGACGACAGCATCAATTATGACTGCGTCAAGTAATCAACCTAGTCCAGCGAAGAAAAGCGAAGTAAGTAACAGTAGTCCCGCTTGCAACTTAGTTAACACTCCCAAATTGATGCTGAGACAGCGCCGACGACCTGGAGTAAACCAGGACGTCAATGTCACGTTCAAAGCGCCGCCGCCGTTGGCACAGCGTCTCCAAAAGTACCCGAAAACCAGCGCAGCTTATCCCAGACTATCAACTAATAATGCAAAAAAACCAAATCACTCGGACGATTCTGACCAAGATGTCAAGTCGGAGGTCAAAAAATCACCGAAAATCACCACCGACTTAGACATTCAGTTTCAGCGCATGAAATTAGAAAATCTCTCTCAAGTCGCCGAAGTCAAAACTGCAGTGAAGAAAAAAATAGACAGTGGACAATCGCTAAGGCAATATTGCAATTTTGACGAGAAGAAAGTCGTTAAAGTTGCTCCTCACATAAGAAGAAAGGAAGTTATTTACGACACTGTCGATGCCTGGAGTAGACATAACGACGCTCTTCGACCAAGATACAGGCCACTTATATTTGGTGGCACATACCCGATCGATGCTCCTCTAAACAGTGTCAATCCAATGATCAAGGATGCCACTGACAGTGATAAAAAACTTGCAATCACAGCAACTCGTAGCATTTCCAAGACTTTTGACATTGATGCTCCGACTGGCTTAAAATGAAAAAAATCGACGAATTTACGTGTGCATGTGTAATTTTTTTACAAGGGAACATGGTGTTTTGTGCTTTATTTTAATTTTACAATGCAACAATGACCACGACACAAATCACATTTGACGTTCAATCTCAAATGAAATGACCAATGCTTCTATGTATTTACTATAATGCTTTTATTACTTGTGATAGTACTGCGTCTATTAGATATGTCAATTTTATCTACTTAAGATGATGCCAAAATTTATTAATCAACTGTACAAAAATCATGTTGTTGATTTATCGACGTGCAATTATGAATTATTAAGTTATCTATCTATACTTGCTTAAATATAATAAATTGTATATTACCTCTGCTTACATTGAAAAGTTGTTGACTTTTTTGCTGCACAAATTGTAGTGTATATTCAAATAACGTACCTTATAAAAAAAAAAAAAAAAAAAAAACTGAAAACAAGCGCAAGCAAAGTGTATTCTCGATGTCTGTCTCTTAGTTTTAAGATTTCATTGTGTCTAAAAATCTTTTAGCAGAGGGACGAGTTAGCATCGAGGACAGACTTTGCCAGAACAAATTTGCGATAATCAATTTTTCTTTTCCTTTCCAGCCTCAGCAACAGCATCAACAACTACGCCCCCCAAGCATTTCGATGGGACCCAGTTCTGGTAGTAAACAATACGATCCGTTGGAAGAATTGGACCAAATGGAATCGCCCAAGCATGGAAAGTCAACGACCGGACAAGCGGATGCGAAAAAACAACAAGATAAGCAAGCTGATAAAAACAAGGCCAATAACAGTGGAAGCTCTTGGTTCGGTGGATTGTTCAGTAAACTGGCACCTAAACCGAAAAATCAAATGATTCTGCCCGATGACAGCAATCCGACGGTGAGTTTGATGTCTGTGATTATTTTTTTTTTTTTTAACTTGAGTTTGTGAATATTCCGAACACTTCATCATGCATATGATTAAGCAGGGATACCTTTGGTAATTCGTACGTTAATGCAAAGTGGAGAAACGAAGCGCTACACGAATAATGTAACGAAAAACTTTGATTCATTTAATGATTTTCGTGTCTCTAACATGAGTGCTAACATTGTTTAAATTTTTGACATTCATTGACTGAGTTTTTTTATCAGAGTCTGATTTTCGGATCATTTTGTGCGTTTCATTGGTGACTTTTTAATCTGAACAATTTCAAATTTATACGAATCTTTTTCTTTACCTGTAAACAGATCGTATGGGATCCAGTTTTGAAAAAATGGACTAACACAGAGGAGGGTGAAAGCGAAGGTGCAAGTTCTCTACCACCTCCGCCAAAGATGTCGGAACTTCCTGGCTTTAAGCCAGCTTCGAATCCTTTGAGCCCGGCTCCATCGAGCGGACCGTCTTCGCTACCGCCCACCGGCACGCCTGGACTGGCATCGATACCGCCTGCTGCGACTTCATCTCCAGGAATATCTAGTCCCTCGTCCAACGCAGATGATATTATGAACAGTACGAGAGTCATTTCTGGCGGTGGTAATATTTACAAGATGGCGCGCGGGCGCAACATGCGAGCCAATTACGTCGACGTGATGAATCCTAACAAATCGTCGGCGACTTTGGCCTCCTCGACTCCAGCTGGATCACCTGCTGCACCCACACCGCAACTTTTTATACCTTTAGCTGGTAAGTTGATAGTTTTTCGATAATTATTTCCTAAAAAACGTTGTGTTATTATATTGGCTGGTCTCAATGACAATTTTTTTTATTTCAGTAAACGATCCTAATGCACCTGTAGATTTTTTAAGCCCATCGACGGCTCCAGCTCAACCTAACGATAATGCACAGCCTTCGGTAAGTTGATGATTTTTTCTGCCAGATATTCTCAAAAACAGTTTCTTTTGAAGTAATTTAACATGTAATTATTTTTGTTATTTGTCAATTATTTGTTATGATTATTATTCATTTATTTTTCCGTTTTGTCTGTGCTGTTTTACATTATTTTTTTGATAATTTATAAATTTCTGATTTTGTCTGACTGAAGTAGACGTTTTGAATTTTATTTTTCTTCAGCACGTCTACTTAACTGAACTTTCCCTTAGTTTTGTTTCCATGTATGTTTTCGTTATGGATATTTTTTTATTTTTCTTTCAATCACCTATGTTTCAATAGTACGCACAGTCAAATATGAATTGTGAGAATGTAAGATGTATTATATTCAAAAATCTCAGCATGGTAGAATAATAAAAATTTATTATGTTAAATGTTTAGTAGATTTTAAATTATATTTTGTCTCATCAACAATGTATTAATGTAGATATTATTAAACAATGGTAAAAAAGATACTCGACTAATTAAATCACTTTTCTTGTCTATGATGACTTTTAAAAATGATCCATACATTTTTAAATCATAAACTTTCGTTCCATGTCTAACTGCCAGCAGTTTGGGAAGCAGAACGATCTAGCCAAATAACAATTATTATCAACAGTAAGGACGACCAACAATATTTTCATAATTCGGAGACTGTAGATAACGATTCTTCTGAGTATACTGAATATTGATTTGCATTTGCCTATTTACAATTATTATCATTATCAATAGTCTCTCGAGCATCAGTTTTTCAACCACGTTTTCATTCGAAACTCGCTTCTTTTAATTTGCATGTTGATTTTTCAAACATTTTTTTTAAACATTGTTGTTATTTGCGCTAGTTTTGATCTTTTTTTTCACCCGATAAATATTTCTGAAATGAGCTTTCCATCTGGTTTGGGACTTTGTTTTGAACATTCCCCACTGTGTGTTAATAATCCGTGCACGTGATGATCTAAACAAAAATAGCTAACGCATCTATAATTCCAATTCCATTAATCGTTGAGCTATTAACTCTCATTATTGCTGTCATATATTAAAATATTATCAAACGAAACACAAACAATTTGAGACGATACTTTAATTACCAAAAACGCACTATTTCACGAAACACAATGACAGCTCTCGCGTTGGAGCTCGGCCAGTTCGCTGTCACGTGAGGTGCAGAGTTACACGATGAGGGATTCGCGACACCTACAGCGGGAAAAGGTAAAATTCTCATCACTTCTGTAACTGCTCTAAAACCAAAGTACCTAATGGCGTCCGCTGCAATCGGCGAGCGATTGGTATTCATAGCCAATTTTTATACTAAAATATTTATGAGACTGCGAAAAAAAACAATGCTGAATTGTATTTGTTGCAAAACTAGGGGAAAGCTTACCGTGACAATTTTTTGAATAGTATTTTTTCGTTGCTAAATTTTTTAATTCAATGCTACATTTATTTCGCATTCTTTAAATTGATTGTGAATGCCTCACGCATTTAATGTAAAATTTTTCCAGAATAAGTGCTTGAAGCATACACAACAATCGGCTTATTCTTAATTATATCATTGCAAACAGCACATAAATACATCATGATATATGACATATACTACAGATATATCAGTGACCAGATGAAATTTATACTCATAAATAAATCTTTTTCTCTTCTTTTCTCCTTCGACTTTTTCCTGCATCATCGAAATAAAAAAACAACTCCTCTCGTCTCTCTAGGGACCAATGATGTACAACCCCGAAAGTATGAAGGATCGATCACAGAAGACCCATCAAGTTCGCAGTCGCTATCCACCACGATAATAAACGAAGAGAGAACTAAACGCCAAGACACAGTGGGTATTTGATAATTGGGGTCTCGTGCAATGTGTACAAAAGAAAGAAGTTACGGCGACACACTGCCTTCTCTTTTTCGACGCTACTTTATTATGCGATGTACGCACATGTATATCGTAAACAGATTATTTTGTCGATATACATGTGCGTACATGAGTGTTTGTGTGTATGTGTGAATGTATGAGTGTGAATATAGAGTTTGTACATATATATATTGTTAACTCCAGTTTTTGTCTCCACTTTTTGAAGTAATTAACACTTTGTGCGTCAGACTTCGTAGATCGTAGTTTCGCATTTCTGATTGAACGATTTATTATTATATTTATAGTGCAATAATTGATAAAATTTTTTAGCAAAGAAATTTGAAAAAAACGTAGAAACATAGATCGATGTTGCAAGTGAAAGTCTGATTTTTTATAAAAGCAGTCTGCGCTGTGTAGATGGAAAATAGGTGACGAAAACTCAGTTCCTCGTTGAATTGCAATCACGTAGAATCGTTCTTTTGAACGCACCCAGAGTTTTCCGATTTTGACAATGCAAGAGCTCTTTATGATCCACTGATTTGTAACGATTGCTAAAACTAGAGAAATAAAACTTTTTTATAGTGCGCGTGTTGTATTGGACTTTTACATTTTGGCTAAGAGAGCGCGTGATATGTAGTTTTAGATGCATCATCTAATTGATATTACATCGATGAATACACCTTCCTCTTAATAAAAATAGGCAATTTTGAGAATTGCAAATTTTAAAAGTTTATAGGAAATAAAAAAAAAGTTAGCGATAATTAGGTATGTACAATTAATAACAGTCGAGTCTGCTCATTTTGTCGATATGATAAAGCATTCAAAAGACGCAAGTGCTGATGTAATGCATGTTGCGAGTCGTTGAAACAATACGTCGTTTTAAACGCACATGTTTCATTCAAACAATTGTAAAGAAATATGATGTTTTTACTGATAATGGTTACAGGGAGGAAAAGTAAAAGTATATATATTTAGATAGTTATTATTTTCTATTCAATTCACTTTCTAATAGTTAATTAAGAAAATGGATTTAATTATCTATCCATTTAAAAAACTGTTATATTTCCATATACTATATAATTATTTTTTATTAACTAGTTCTGTAATTAAGTTTTTTTGTCATTTATCTTTCGACTTATTTCTATATACTGTAAATGCTCGAATGAGAAGTGGAGAAAAGTGGAGGATATAGTTCATGTTATGTATATTATCAGAAAAGAGATATATAAGCTTAAAATTGAATCATTATTGATGATTATGACGAACTTTGCTCATTGTAATTATCAACAATATCATCAGTTATCGATACAAACAATCGCGTATTGAGAATATATACACAAATTAACAGCATGATGGTCTACATATATATACAGATATATAATATTGTACATACAAAATATATACGATAAATTCCCCTTTGCAATTGTCTCATTGGAGTATCATAGAGTTATATACATGAATAATATTACATTCAGAGCTACCCAACTTATTGGGCCGATTCTATTATGATAAAATTGAAAACGATTGTTAGTCGAGTTTGTTTCACTGCAAAACGAAAGTTTTGTTACTTACCTCTTTTATCATAAGTAAGGTTTATTTCAGTGAAATTTTATTAGAGCTTGACATTCGCGTGTGTACATACGAAATAATATTTTGAATTAATTGTCTTGCATCACCGTTAGCTTTTCTTGTTTACCGTAGATTTAAATGTACCGATAAATTTGTCATGTATTGTGAAAAAGAAAATTTCTGTCTCCCGGTTTTTTTTGTCTCTATATGTTTCCGCGTCTTGTTTAACGTTGATACGACGAACTTTTTAAAAAGAATGCCAAAAAAGCGTCTGACGAAACGATTTTTATTGACTTTGCTTTTCAATCGTTCGATCGACTATATAGCTATAAAATTCAATTTAATACGCCGGAATTATCGAAATCAGAATTCATTTAATATTATTAGTGTATGAACATGCTGATAGCGTGCGAGCTCCGTCCGTATATATAAACATCTATATATAAAGTCGACATACGAATGCAGAGAGAAAGAGAGAGAGCCAATTTGAGTACGCAGTGATAATAATTATTATGTTATTTATGATATGCGATGGATTTTCCGATATATACACATATATTATATGTACGCGCGAGTTAAAGTTGAATGCAAAGTATTATTAATAACAAAATCTTTATAATTAACAATTAAGTGTATACGTTCGTGTATGATATTACGGGAAATGGATGCGGTCCTATTTTCTTTTTCTTTTTTTTATTACTTTAATGTACTTTGGCTTGATATATACGCAATATACGTATCACGTTATTGAAATATTGTAAAAAACTAAATCCTGAAGCGTGTGTTGATAGAAAATGAGGGGTGCGACGGTGCTCTCTGTCGCACGCTTTACTTTTTAATTTATTCATTCTACGAATTGCTCGTGAATTATATTTATTATATTTGGCAGGTGGTTATGATTATTATATTATTATTTTTATGTTTATTTTTATTATTATCTTATTATTCATTATTATTATAATTATTCTTGTGTACCATTAATGAAATAAATGCTGAATTACACATGAAAAGCGCTGACTCGTGACTACGTTTTTTTCCTCTGCTTACCCAACTACTATATTTACAGCCACTTTTTTTACTACTGCCGTACTGTTACTGCTGCTCGTATACGCGCGGGGCAAGGATGATCGACGAACCACCTGTAAGCCTATACGCACACAGCTTCACTGAGACTCGAGGTACGTATAAGGTACAAGCACACTACGAAGCCAGGCGAGGAAGCCTCGGAGAGTCGTGGCGGTCGGTTGGGGGTGGCGGGAAGCGCTTGCGCGAATCGTAGCGATTGGCGCTTCGTTTTCAAAATATACATGGCACACACGAGCAGAGGAGGGAGGGAGGTAGCACAGGGAAAAAGCTCCGTGCGAAGCTACGTCGTCGTCGTCGTCGTCGTCGCTGCTCCTGCTGGCTGCGGATGGGATATCATGCTGCTGCTGCTCTATGTGTTTTGGACGCGCCACCGCCGCCGCCAGTTATAGCTTAGCTCGGCTACGCGGCAGACGGACGCGCTGCAGCACAGCTGTCGTCGTCGTCGTGCTAATAGAGCGCGCGATGTGTAGTGGTTCCGTTCGCCCCCCGTAGTGATGATAAAAAATAAAAAATGATAATCGTAGAGATAAAAACAAAAGATAAATAAATGAAGTAGTGATAGTTCGCGTTCCTGCTAGGCGCTCGTATCGCCGTAGGAGTTTATTTTTTCAATTATTAGTGCCAGTGCTTCGCTTTTATTTTAATTATATTGTTTTTCTTCCTTTCGATCTCGTGTACAAAGTATATAATTTTTGGTGTGATGTGCACGAAGAAAAGGTGAAAGAGAAGATAGAAGTGTGCGATAATAAAGTTGGTGTCTCGTGCCCAAATCGTCTCGTTATTGTGATTCAAAAGTATACTCGCAAGGCTCTTAGATTTATTCATTATATAGTTCAGTGCACAGTGTCACGTACTCGCATATAGCTGCGGATACAAAGAAAATCATGGCCACTTGTCGCGAGGAGACGAAAAAGACGATGCGCCGAAGCTGACGGACGGATCTTCTCTTCCTCAGCGATCGCCAATTTTTTAAGATCGGTTCAGGTACGCACTCGACTCGCTTGGAATTCCATTACATACATAAACGCGTACGGCGTTATAATCGAGAATTCTGGTCCTGCGACGACAAAATCGCGAGATCGAAAACGAAGCCACTCGCCTGCATAATGGATATTTTCTCTTATCGCTTATAATACATCGGCGGCGGTGGCGGCTGATCGATATAATACCGTATTGTATAGTCGCGCGTGCTGTACGTCGCTCGTCTCACGCACTGCGCGAGGCGCGTCACAGTGCACAGCGATCACCGATCAAAATTTCAATATCCCTGCGCGTTTTCAACGCGCTCGCGGGGCGCAAGAACGGGGGGCTCCCGCGTAATCGAAAAGCTGTCATTTGCATAAGATGCGCGGCGCTAGGCGCATCATAAATCTCGTCCTCGCGCGTCCCATATCTCTCGCGTCGCGTCGTTGTTGTTGTCGGGCGAAGGAAGGAAAAATTGTTCTTCGCAGCTTGTCAACGAACGTCGCAGGGAAAAGTCGCGCGCGCGGTATACGGCATGCAACCTGTTGTGTTGGGAGCCCGCGAGCGCGCCTCCAAGCTGTATCGATCGCCGAACGCGCGCTTCTATCTTATTTCCAGCGATATGCTTCCTGTGTGTATAAGTTATATGTAATACACAATTCATGTTCGAGATTGAGGGATTCCGCTTCTCTCTCTCTCTTTTTTATGCGACTTTACTTTGTGCGAAGGGAACGGATTGGACCACAGGAGGTCAAATTGAGTACTGATACATTTTGGATTATTGTTTTTGTACAGTCCAAGAAAATAATTCCGTAATCTTGTCATGTACGAAAGGGTTGCCCCTCGCTGAGCTGAGAAAATTCATTTATTCATAAACGAATCAACGCGAAATTACGATTGATCGAAAGAACGACGGAAAATTCAATGAAACTTTTTTTCTCCTAATTCCCCGCCGACGTCCACTCGTCAACTTGTCGAGCTTGTAAAGCAATTTTAACGATTAAAAAGCACGTACAACAAAAAAAAAGGTTTAAACGAAGGATTAGTACACTTGTAGCGAGTGTATGTGCACGCACGCACAAAAAATATACGTACAGGCTCGAAAAGCACCTTATCTCAGTACGCGAATCTAAGGTATATATGTACCGCTGTGACGTATGTCCTCCGCGCGCGCGGCGCACAAGTACTGTGTATGATTTTTAAATTCATGCGCTCGCTTGTATACTTACGTAATAACTGTGCGCGCGTGCCTGGAAGCCAACAGCTTAAGGATAATATAACGTTCGCTCTCACGCTATGCACGCACACACACACTCACACATACACACACAAGTAGAAAAAAGAATTAAGCTCGAGTGGCTGGATTATTATTTTTTTATTTTATTTGGCCCGTCGACGCGCGGCCGCCTGGTATGATCGCGTTGTCTGGCTCATGGGTCGCGCAGATAAATAGTGAGAGAGATATATAGCATAAGGGTGTAATAAAATCGACAGCTTCCGTCCGTTTCGTATCATTACCTCTCTATTAATGTCATTATTTATATCTCGCGGCTTCTATGAATAACGACGCGAAAGCTCGCTTCATTTTCCAATTATATTATTCTTATCGCGCTCGGATGTTACGAGCTTTATTGCATTACGAGCTTGAAAATCGCGATCGATGGAGGATAAAAGGTATGATGTAAAAGAACTTTGAGCTCACGTGACGCAATGATTTTTCAAAGGAGTGAAAAAACCCTGTGTAATTAGTAGTTTACAAGCTCTACGCGGCGCGCTTGATCCGATCCGATGTGTTTGTGCATTCGGTGCATTTCCGCTATTAGGTACTGTTGCTGCTGCTGCTGCTGCTGCTGCTTTCGATACATTGCAAGTGCACAACGAGTATGTGTCTGTGTGTGTATATAAAACCTGTTGCTCGCGCGCGAGCTGCACGTAGCAGCAGCCAAAGTCCGCTGCGCACCGTCGGTACACGAGATTACACACACACTCGCGCGAGCGTGTACACTCGGGGAGCTTTTGTAAAATTATTTATTAGACTCGTACGCAAACGAGATAGAGAGAGAAATACAGAGGAAAGGGAACGAGCTCTTTGAATTCGTTGATAAAACTTTTGTTCCGCCCGGTACGCTCCGCACAGTTCTGCAATACTGAAGGGTGGAAAAAAACAACAGCTAGCTTTGAAGCTACTACCATGGTCGAACAATAAAATCTGCTTTAATCAAAAACAACTTTGACGTTTGTGCATACTCGCGGATATCGCTCTCTTTCTTTTTTCATTATTAATTTCTTTCGTCCAGGTTTACTCGAGTTTTCACCCTTGCGCATCGGTCGCGTATACGTATAGTTGCCCGTTGCAAATGATTAGCAAACAATTAATAAAACTGCCCGGCTTACGTATTCCGTATCATGGAAGCCCGCGCGTGTCGGACAAAAGCTTTGGCAAAGTTCGCGCGCGCGCGGCTGCACATAACTCACGAGGCGAGTTCGACGAGCCAACGTGCAGCAGAGACTCTACTAACACGGCATTCCTTGAGCTTTTCTGCTTTGTCCACGTGATGCGTGAATGCAAGAGTGTGAGTGCGTACGTACGTGCAAGTGTACCGCAACTGGGAAAAAATCCACTTAGGTTCTATGTGGATCGCACGACTAGAGAGAGAGTATGTGTGTGCATAGGTATATTACGCGTCGTAATGACAAAGTTTCCGCACACGCGTATATATATACTCGGCATACAAGTCCATTAGTGCGAGCTTGCAGTGTCAGTAGCTTTTCTATACGTATATATACGCAGCTCAAACGTCACGGCGCGCGGCTAGTTGTGCTAGCGTATACAGCTCGACCAATACTTTGTGCTATATACGTATATAAATACGTCTCTGCGGAGCAGCTGCAGCCGCGTGAGTGAGACGCTACCGTGCGATGCGATTGTGCTTGCATCTGTGCGACGAGGCGTGCTAGAAATAGAGGAAGACATAGGGAATAGAGAGACAGAGAGAGGCTGAGAGTATGGCAAAGTCTAATGGATCGCACGCACGCATCTCTTTAGCCTGGCTGCGACGACGACGCTCTGGAGCTGTTGCTTGTTTCCAGTTTAAAATTGAGTTTATTTTTCCCTCTCTGTCTCTGTCTCTCTCTGTATCGCACTCTCAACGCTCTGACTTTCTGCATAAAAGACAATTATACACCTAGGCCTTGTACCTCCTGCTACTTCTTGCGGTATACCAGTGGACTATCGGTGTACTGCACACGTACTATACACGGGCAGAGAGCAACAAGTTTGCAGTGGCTCTTTCATCGCTTTATATGAACTTGGATGCGTGATCTCTGCTACGTGCTTCGGTATTATATATTGCACCATTGCTGTTGCTGCGGATTATATACGAGTCAAAAAATTTCGAGTACCCGGGAATGTAGAAAAAACTTTTTGGTTTTAATTTTTTCACCTGTCACGTCTTTTATGTCAGAAATAGCCAATCTTTCAGCAAATTTATCAAAATCTTTAACTATGAATTCAGAATTGCGCATCATTACCTGACGTTTATAAAAAATCCAGCATATGATTGGCCGCACGAACCAAGTTGACTGAAAATACACAGAGAATAGTAACTAGCAGGCATCTGGTTAAAAAAATGAAGCATTATCATGACAGTGACAATTTTTATTGAACTTTTAGAAAAATTCTTATATAATTTCTATACATATTTACAATTGTTAAGAACAAAATCAGCGCTTTTCATTATTTCAAACTAGCGACCCCGTCGTGGCTTCGCCCACGTTCAATTTTTTCAACAAATTCGACTGCTTAAAAGATCTTAAACAGGCCACGTCAAGTGCGTAGTAGGAAATGTATAA